CCATATTGATTTCCATAGTTGTACTAGTTTACATTCCCACCAAAAGTGTATCAAAGTTCCTTTTTTCCCAGCATCCTCAGCATTTGTTGTTTCTTTTTTTTTATTGTTTTATTATTCATATGTGCATACAATGCTTGGGTTGTATCTTTTAATAAGGCTTAATTTAGCAGACACTGTATGTACAGTCCATAAAAAGGAAGGAAACCTAGCTTGGGTGTGACGATCCTATGGTTGGAGATGGAAGGGCAGCTTCCAGTTTCTTTGGCAAGAAATGTCTAGTAAGTAGGCATTTCTACTCCCTAGAAATGGATGGTAGACAGTCCAGAAAGAACTGTCAGTGTTCTCAGCCAAAGATCACCAGGAACACCTGTATCTGAGCAAGTTGAGCTTATCACTCATCACAGCAAAAGAGAATGCACACCATAAGGAACCAGAGGGCACCTCAGTAACAGGGTGTTTGGAAGGACTTATATTAAGATTTGAGTTTGTGTTAGGTGTTTTGATGGGAGGTTTAAGAAGAACAACTTTGGTCTATGCTTTAAATCAGATAGTCAGGAAGTGGGCTTAATTCTATGATTGATATCTTGATAAATCTTACCTAGAAAGAGGGAAGGCCAGAATGAGTAAAGCTGTAAGTGGCAAAGAAGCAATAGCTACTTATATTAGTTTGGTATTTTAATTTTGTGTATTCCATTTGGTGACTTAGATAAGGTTCATGATTTTGTCTATGTTCAGACATGATTGCACAGCAGTCTTTTTTTTTTTTTTTTTTTTTGGCAGTACTGGTGGTTGAACTCAGGGCCTCACATTTGCTAGGCAGATGCCCAACCACTTGAACCGCTCCACCAGCCTTTTTTGTATTGGTTATTTTTGAGATAGGGTCTCGCTTTATTCCTGGGCTAGCCTGGACACCGATCCTATTTGTACTTCCCTATTTAGCTGGGTATGACAGGCACCCAACAACCATGCTAAGCCATTGGTAGAAATGAAGTCTTATGAACATTTTTTTTGGCCTGGGCTGACCTGGATCTGCCATCCTCCCAAGCTCTGCCTCCCAAGTAGCTAGGATTACAGGTGAGTCACTGCACCAAGCCAGCAGTCTTATTTTGTCCTGACCATCATGATTCTGGAGTGGCCTTGTCTCATGTTGATGTTCTTGGAAACTGTGTTCAACAGGAAACACCAACGTCTAGCTATATGGGGTCAGCTCCTAGCAACATCAAGACCTTTGTGATAGCTCTGGGCCATTTACTGCATGTCAGGGACTGCTTTTCTTTCTCAGAATATAGTAGTTAACAACTTGTGACAAAATTGGGTTTGATTGCAGAGCCTGATCTTCAGCAGTTGGTTAACTGGGCTACATTACCTAATTTCTCTGTGCCTCAGTTTCCTTGTATGAATATAGGAAATATAAGTGTTTGCCTCATTGTTTTGAGAAATGAGAGGACATAGCTGTTAGCCTGTATCAAATAATTATTATTAATGTATCACAGGAAAAATAAGGATACTAGAGCAAGAAAAGGAAAACCAAAGAATAGTCCAGGCAATTGTGTCAGGAGAGTCAATAAACAATAGGAAAGCAAGGGCAGAAAATCATTATTATTCACATTGGATGGTAAACTTTACAAAGCTGTTAATTGTCCAGCTTATTTCAAAATGCTAGGAGAGCTGGGTATGGTGGCACACACCTGTTATTTAAAAAATGCCAAGAGAATTCATTACATTTATGAAAACATGGGGAAACATAGGAAAATGTGTGGATCTTACATCAAGTGATTTGTCATTTAAATGAGTCCATATAGGAGCACCAGGCAGAATGATGACAACTCAACAACGAAAACTATTATTTGTGTGTATGCCAGGAGGTTGATTCATGTGTTGGGTAGAAGGTTGGAATGGATTCCTTTCCACTTCCATTTGCTCTCAGCATATAAATTATTTCTTGCTTTCAGATGCCTGTTTCTGGATTGCTTCTTTCTGGCTCTAACTTTTTGAAGTACCCCTGCCTTGCTAAGCAATGTTGTATCTAATTTCTCCAGTATCTGAATAAGGCATTGACTCTCTGTAACCAACTAGAGAAAAATTTAGCCATTTAAGAGACTAGATAATTGGTGTATGCTGCAGTGATAATTATTCTGTAAACTTTTTTTGGCTGTGCTTGGGATGAACCCAGGGCCACAGGCATGCTAAGCAAGCACTCTGCAACTGAGCTACATCCCCAGCCAATAATAATTTAATGTTAAAAGAAAGTTATTGCCTGAAGGCACTAAGGACTCATTATTTTAAAACATTACAAAAATTTCCAAATCACCATCCAGAAATAAAGTTTCATTTTAATAATGAAAGGAGATTGCAGAGAATGAGAATCAAGAACTAAGTGGTCAGCCTATTCAATGAACAGAGCAACTTCCCTAAGCACCCTTCAAAAGTATCTCTGGCAAGGTACAAGGTATCATCCTTCTACAGAAGTCATTCCACAAAGATCTTCAGGTTTGTTCTCATTTTAGATGTAGGAGTTGGTGGGCACTGAGTGGTTCTATTCATTTTTATAGGTTAAAAAAAAAACTGAAGAGGAAATGACGAGGGTCAGATGAACAGGAAACACATGCCTACCTCTACTTGCACTTTCAAAAGGTGCTGCTGAACTTACAACATTCCTAGAGTTCCCTTATATCTTGGTTGGTTTATGAAATAGATTTAACCATTGCTTAGTAACTGCAAAAAATGTAAAATCTTCCAGGAGTGGCTCCAGATTTGTCAGTCGTATTTACTTTAGTGGTAAACTCTCTAACAGAAACAAGTTCAAGAAACAAAGAGTAATTTTGCACTTCATAATTTTCCTACAGCCCAACCTTGAAAGGTCATGTATTAAAAGACTTAAGAACAGAGGATTCTGTGGTAATAAAGGAAGTGCTCTGGGTAAACACAAAAATCCACACTCCCTCATAATCACTCAACTCATATATGAAAAGATTATTTAATATAAACTATAAAACTACACTATCTTGATAATCTCAGCATAGTGGATTTGGCCCACTGATTTGATTAAGATCAGGATTAGACTGAAGCCATAAACTATACTTATCCATTCTGTTTAAGAACTGGATCAAAGTTAGCTTCTTCTAGAATGCTTATTTTTTGTGCAGTAATAGGGTTTGAACTCAGGTCTTGTGCTTGCTATGCAGGTTCTCTACTGCTTGAGCCAGGGCCCCAGTCCTGTTTGCTTTAGTTATTTTTGGGTTAGGGGTCTTCCTGTGTATGTCCTGGCCCACCTGATGGAGATCCTACTTATGTTTCTCCAGTAGCTGGAATGATAGGCACACACCACCACACCCAGCTTAGTTGAGATGGGGGTCTTATGAACTTTTTAAAGGGCTGGCCTCCAACAGAGACCCTCTCCATCTTCAACCTCTTGAGTAGCTAGGATTACAGACCTGAGTCATTGTGCTCAGAATACTTTCTTTGGTTAACATATCCTCTCCCTCTCTCTTTTTCTTGTTTTTGGTGGGACTGGGGTTTGAATTCAAGGTTTCACACTTGCAAAGTAGGCGCTCTACCTCTTGAGCCACACCTCTAGTCCATTTTGCTCTGGCTATTTTGGAGATAGGGGAGGGGGTCTCCCAAACTATTTGTTGGGGCTGGCCTTGAACCGGGATTTTCCTGATCTCAGCCTCCCAAGTAGTTATGATTACAGCAGTGTGCCATCAGCGTCCCTGGCAACATACCCTCTTCTAAACCTTGTCAACAGTTATTCAATTATGCCAGTCTGATTATTTTGCATTTGAGAAGATTTTTAAAATTTCTTTTGAAAAAGATTTGTTTTCTTCGCTTCATGTGTCTGTTGGATTTGCTAATTAGATTGTGAAAGGAAAACTTTCACATTTGTGTAAAATGGCACGGCTGCATTCCCTTTCACATCCACCATCTCTTCTAACCTCAAAAAACTTATGGTGGATTTATTATCTTCATTTACAGGTACTGAAAGAGTCAAAGTTTACAGCATTTATCTGGCCAAGCACCCTTTGCGCAAGTTATCTCCTTTGGTCCCCAAAACAACCTTCCGAGGTCGCCATGGAAACTGTACGACATGAGTCGCGTCACAGGTCCAGGCGGCACTGGTCAAGTCCAAGTCCACAGACTCCATCCTCTGTGGCCACGCGCTTCCCAGCAGCTTCCAGATCCGCAAGGACAGCCAGCCTCGCCAGGGCCGGGGACAGCGAGAGGCGCACGGCCAGGCTTTCCAACTCCCAATTCTCTTCTCACTACCCCACGCCGAAATTGCTCTTGCACAAATTTCAAGTGCATGGCCAGTCGGCCGCAGCGCACTAGGTGCTAGGTGACTAGGGCGAATCAAGTAGGCGTTGACCCCCAAGGAGCTCAGTTCTAGGGCAGGGAAGACTAAAAGACACCAAAAAAACCAACCAAACAAAAAACCCAAACAAACAAACAAACGAAACGACAACAAATTAGCAAGATCTGTCCTCACCCTATCCCTTGGTCACAAAGGCGCGTGGAGAGCACCGACGGGCACCATTCAGAGAAGGCCCGGCTCATCACTCCCCCGCGGGCAGCAGCCAAGGGAGGAGGGTTGGGGGGGTCCCTGCACTAGGAAGGGGCGGGAGAAACTACTGGCGACGCCCCCAGCAGAACGAAGGCCCTAAATTCTGACGACCGTTACTTGGCGGCGGAACCAAGAGACCCCTGGTTGGCGCAGCGGCCCGAGATCCTAGCGGGAGGGGCGCCGCCTCCGCGTCTCCGGGCTGCGCTCCTCGTTCACACCTGATTGGACGGTAGAGGAAAAGGGGCGGGGAGACCCCAGGAGGAAGCGCGCATAGGCCGGCTGGGGGCTGCTGGGAGGGCTGGGTACTCGCTGGAGAAAAACGGGTGGGCGCGCGCGCGCACAAGCTGTGGTGGTGGTGTTGGGGGCGGGGGCGGGGGCGGGGAGGGGGGGGGTGAAGGTGCGCGAGCGCGCGTGCGCGTCGGATTGCGAGCCACGGAGGAGGAGGCGGGAGCTGAGGTGGCTGCGGAGGGGGCGGGTCGCGTCGGGCGCCACGTCCGCAGCCAGAGGCCGCCGCCGCCCGAGTCTTGAACCTCCACAGCCTTGAGGGGATCCTCCGGAGCCCGCAGCTGTCCAGGGCTGTGTCACCGCAGCTGCCTCCCAGGCCACCTCAGCCCTCCTCGGTGCTGCCGCTGCCTCCGCCCCGGCGCCGGCTCCGACCCCGTGGTGAGTCGGCCGGGGGACGGGGGGCGCGGGCCCGGCTTCCTGCTTACCTCGCCTTCTTCCGTTAGCTTTTCTGCCCCTCACCTGCTCCCTCCGCGGGCCTGGCTGCCCCGGCCGGGGCCTTTTGGGGGTGGGGGGAACTGAGCGGGAAGGGGGAGGGCAGGACGAAGTTGGCCGGATGGAGGTTCTCCGGCGCCCCTGGCTCCCGGGCCGCGCTTGGGGAGCTGGGTCTCCCCGAGGAAGCCTCCGCCTGACGTCTTAGCGCCCTGGGGGTCAGATTGAGGGCCGGGGTGGAGGCGGGGGCGGCCGGCGGGGTCGTGTGCCCCGACCTGTGCACTCCCGACCTGTTGATAAATGGCTCCTGCGGTCAAGTGCGCAGGGCTTGGTCCCGGGTGGATGTTCCCAGGTGGGCAGCTCCACTTCCACGCCCGTCCGGAACCTGCGAGGGTAGGATGGAGGGGGCGCCGAGCACCCCATCGGTGCCGTCTCTGCGACCCCCAGGCTAGCTAGTGACCCGGCCTGCGGTGCTCACGCAGCTGCCAGGCTGGCCCGCGCCCCACTTGCGCTCAGCCCGCGCTACGTGGAAGCCGTGGAACCCCGCGGGAGCGGGGGCGTGTTGGGTGCACAGCGTGGAGCCTGGAGGAAGGAGGTGCCGGGCTCAGCCCAGCCACGGCGCCTCCGGGGCATTTTTCTGCCTCTCTTGCCACGTCACTGCCTCTGCTATAGAAAGAAAGAAAGAAAAAAAAAAGACTTGCTAGCGCCCAGAGGGATCAGTGAGGGGAGAAGGGGCTGCTGGGAAGTTAGAAACACCTATTGAGCCTTTGTGGACGCCGTGCTAATTCAGAACGGTAGCACCTTGTGCATTGTCTGTGATTTGTGTGTGCTGTTGCTGTAACCTTTGAGATCGCCCTGGTGTGGGTGCTCTGAGCGGCGGCTCCCGGGGAATATTGCCATCCCAGCAGCAGGTATGTGTGTTCCCGGGCCCGCTTTGGGGAGAAGTAACCTTTGGTAACCCCCTGTGCATCCTGTTTTGCCTTTTCACTTTCATTTCTTTGGTCTTTGTTATAACAGTTGTGCCAGAAACCAAGTTGAAAAATTTAAGTGGTTTCTGCATTAGGCAAATAAATATGAGGGTCTATGTGTTTTAATTTTTTTTTAATTCAAGGGAAATCTTTATTGTTCCTTGTTTCAGTTATTGAGTGTTGCTTGTTTCCTATTTCCTGATGGTATCTCACAGGATTACATATAAATACGTTAAGAGTAGGGTCTTTGGGCTGTTCACAATAGCTTGTGCCTGAAAGCCCAGTTACTCCGAAGGATCTTGGTCCCAGGCTGGCCCAGGCAAAAAGTTCGTGAGACCCACATCTCAATAAATAAACCCGGTGTGGTGGTTCACTTCTGTAATCTCAGTCACGTGGGAGGCTTCGGTAGGAGTAACAGTTTGAGGTCTGCCCAGGCAGAAAGTGCAAAATTCCATCTGAAAAATAACGAAAGCAAAAAAGGTGGGGGCCTGACTTTAAGTGGTGGAACGCTTGCCTAGCTAGCTTGTGCCCCTGAGTTCAAATCCCAGATTTCCATCCCCTCCAAACAGGGTCTTTGTATGCTTTTTAGTAAGAGTGTCTGACAGTAAGTGACACATAGTAGAAATGCAGATACCCCTTGAACTAATAAGGTATAATTTAGTGACAGTGACTGATATACTGCTTCTTTAGTTTTCCAGAGTGTTTTAATTCTATTTAATGTTTCATTTAAGAACAATTAAAATTTGCCATTTTGATATTGTCAGTTGCACTGTATGCTCTTATGTTTTATTGATTTCCTTGCCAGACTCAGACTCAGTGCCTTTCTTTCTTGTAGTCTGTTTGTTGTTGATTTACTGGGGAGGGGCCATCTCCACAAGCAGCATGTTCAGTACAGTTGGTTGACTGGAGAAACCTGAAACCAGTGAGGTGCTGTCTTAGTGTACATGACTTGTTGGTGTATGTGTATCAGAGCTCTGTGTAAAAGTATTTTTGAATCTCTTTGCAGTTGTTTGGCAAGGAAACTAAAACATGGGAACGAGGATGTGGCAAAATTCTTACATATAGCACCTACTGTAGAAGAATTTAGCCAATCCATCTGTAGTCTTTTTCTTGTATAGGAAATTTGTATAACAGCAGATATTTTGAAGCAGCTTTGAAGGTAAACTGTTGTGCACTGTATTTTCTAGTTCGTGTGATTTAACTTCCTTGATTCTTTAGAGAGGTGATACTCAGGCAAATTTGTACTGTTTTCAGACTTTGTCTCCATTATGAATAAAAGCTCAATTTTTAAAAAATTAGTAACTAAAACTGCTCAAGCAGCCAGTTTTATTGCTTTAAAAGCTCAAATTTGTATATAAAGTGTTAGTGAAACCTACGAACAAAACTGATTTATTTATGGTTTTAAGTTTTCCTTTAAAAACAAGGAGGTTTCCAAGAGGCATTTGTTTACTTATTTCTGTTATCGGAATAAATTACCCTCTAGGGAATAGTGTTGTTACTAATATTTGCTCAATATGTTTGCCAGCTGCTCTTTCTGTGGTACTATTGTACTGGGTAAGAGTTATCCCCTATCCCTTAAAGTAACTGCTGATGGATTTGCTGGTGTGACTTACTGCCCATAAGTAAACAAGTCTTTCACAGTTCACAGTTTCTTAAAAATATCTTTATAAGCAGTTTTGGTATTAAAATAGTTTGTCTACATGTCAGGACTAAAAGATAAAACAGATTTATGTTTATAGAATAAATTAAATCATTTGTCCTGGTCCAAAGGCTATTGTTCACTGTTGCCTTCCTTAGGAAAGTTTGTTTTTGATAGCAACTTGTATGTGTTACGAGTTCCTAGAGAGAAGATATATTTTGCTTGTTGAATGAATGATTGTCAAAAGTGGTAACTCTGGCTTAGAGTAGTGCCTGTGTTTGCTTACTTACACTGAAGTCTTAAGTGTATAACAGGATGTGTGGCACATAGTAGGACTCAGTATATGTTGAACTAGTGACTCAGTGAGTTTAGGGCAAATGGGTTGTGTAGAATTTAATAATTTTGTTTATCATTTAAAGGTAACATTTTAAAGTTTTGACACTTTTATGTCAGATGGTAGTTATTTCCTCATGCATAGTTTTAAATTTTATTAGCAGATTATTTTTCAGAGATTATGGGTGTGTTTGTCTTCACAAGTCTCAATTCAAGAGAAACAGATCTCCTGCAATGGTGGCAATAGCAGGAGGGTGATACAGAAGGTACCCCCTTATCCATGTACCTGCAGTCAGCCATGGTCTAAAAATACTAAAGGAAAAATTCTAGGAATAAACAATTTATAAGTTTTAAATTGCACACCATTCTGAGGGTGCATTCTGAGTGTGCACTGTCCCTCTCCGTCTTGCCTGGAACATGAATCATCTCTGTGTCGTGTATCCCTGCTACAGGTGCTACCTGCCTGTTATAGTCACTTAGTAGTAGTAGTCCTCTAGGTTATCAGATTATCACAGTGCATGTGGTCAAGTACCCTTTTTTTAAAAAACATTTTATTAGCATATATAGTTGCACAGAGGGGGATTCATTTTGACATTTCTATATATGCTCCATATATGCTTACAATGTACCTTGGTTAGGTTCTCTCTCCTTCATTCCCCCCTCCCCCACTTTAAAGTGATTACAGCAGGTTTCATTGTACTGTTTCATAGACGTATATAAAGTACATTGACCTTATTTACCCTCCCTTAACCCCTCCATTTACCGTCTCCCTTCTCATTAATACCTACTCCCTAACAAGACCTGCTTTACAGTCCTGTTCTTCATTTTAAATCCATATTCATTATTCAAAGGGGTTTGCAAGTAACTCTTATTTTTCTTATTAATAGCCTTTAAGCACAAGAGTAGTGATGCTGGCAACGCAGACATGCCAAAGAGAAGCTGTAAAGGACTTTCTTTAAGTGACAAGGTGAAAGTACAATAAGATACTTTGAAAGAGACCACATTGGCATAACTTTAATTGTAATTTGTTATTGTAACCTATTAAATCTCTTAACTGTGTTTAGTATATAAATTAGACTATGATAGGAAGTATATATAGAGAAAACAGTATATGTAGGGTTTGGTACTATTTGTGGTTTCAGGCATACACTGGAGGTATTGCAATGTATCCTGTAGATAAGGGGAGGGACAACTATAGAAAGGATTTCTTCTTGGTAGTCAAGTGCCAAAGAGGTAAGATCACTAAAAGCTTGGCACATATATGTACACAGAGGCTAAGAATAGTTTATGTGTATGAAAAGTATAATGACACTACAGATAGGATAGGTAAGGATTTTAGTAAATAGCTCTATTTTCACTCTTATAATTCAGCAGAAAAAAAAATCTCAAATACTTTTGACTTTTATACAAATTTTACTACCCTAAGAGTTCTAGAAGAACATACTTGTTATTAAGACCAGTGATATAAAGAAATTCAAACATTAAAGCAAAAGCAACAACTAATCTTCATGGCCCCTTAGGACTTTCAAGGTCTCCAGTCCTTAATCTTCTTCCTGTAGTCTGGGTAGACATGCCTCAGCTGGCAGATCTCCAGATTTGCTATTTTGCTGTTTAATTCTGTTGGCAACTCCTGCTAATAATTTTAAATTCAACTGAATCTTTCTGTATAATGGTATCTAACTTTCTGGTTTTCAAACTCTTCTACAGAAACACTCCTAATTTGAGGGCAGAGGGAATAGAACTGAGGTTGGGCTGGAACACTGCCACATCTGAGTGAACACCTTAAAGCAGTGAGATTTCTAGGCAAGGGTGAAATTTCTTGAAAGTTTAACTATCTAAAAAAAAAATTCTCCAAGCACTTTTCATTTTACTTTTCACTGGGTATGCATTTAAAAATAAAAAAGTGTTTAAATTACTATGGAGTAAAATGCATACATCATGTCTCTCCTGTGGCTTCTTGAAGCCCCTAGCTTACTGCCTACTCATAAAAAGGTACATTTGGAAAGCACAACCCTAGTATAGGTTTGTTTGTTTTCTTTTAAAAAACTAAAAAAATCTGGCCATATGTTGATAAGCGTATTTTCTTTGATGATTAAAGCTAATGTGGATATAAACATTCTTTTTATCCCACTTACTCCACAAATACTGTGTAGTAACATAGACTGACAATGGCAATAATATAAAGATGTTTAAATTGCAAACTACGGAAAATTGTAATCAGAGTAGACATCTTGAGGGAATGTGGAAGAATAGGGGTCTGGGAATAGGATGCAACCAATGCAGCCATAGGAACTTACCTACCTACCTAGTTGAGCTGGGATTTTAAATAGAAGCTTTCCAGAAGCCAAAGGAAAAAGAAGAAAAATACAGAAAAATGCATAGATTGCAAAGAATACATGCTAAATATTTGAAGGAAACAATGTTTTCTACATAATTATCTCTAAAGAAATTACCTATGTAGTATTCCCTATCAGAGCTATCAAGTGATATAGTAGGTAATGGCCTTAACAGTATCGTTCAGTTAATGTAGTAATAGCCAGACTGGGCCTTGTGGCTCACACATGTAATCCCAGCTACTCAGGAAGCAGGTATTGGGAAGATCACAGTTTGAGGCCAGCCCAGGCTAAAAGCAGGACCCCATCTCAGTTTAAAAGCTGAGCATGGTGGCACACCCCTGTCATTCTACCTCAGCAAAAAGATAGTGATCCAGACTGATCTCAGGCAAAAACAGGACACTCTAACTCAAAAATAATCAAAGCATGGGCTGGGGGCATGGCTCAAGAGGTAGAGTCCCTGCCTAGCAAATGTGAGGTCCTGAGTTCAAACTCCAGTATCCCCCCCCAAAGACAGGTAGTAATAACCCACATAAACTTCTTTGTCATGGTTTCCTTATCATGGGCCATAACTGAACAAAACTGAGTTGATGTCATTTTCTCAAAGAAAGCGTTATGTGGTTCAAATGCATTGTTTTTTAGGTGATGCACTTTATCTGTGTGATAAAAACCTGGAATAACTGGGACTAGATGAATTTAAAAATATCATTTATGTTGGGTGTGGTAGTTCATGTTTGTAATCCCAGCTACTCGGGAGAGAGAAGGTAGAATGTGATTTGAGGCCAGCCCAGGCAAAAAGTAAGCAAGACCTCATCTCAACAAAGAAACTGGGCAAAGTGGTTCAATTCTGTAATCCCAGGTAATCAGGAAGCATGGGTAAGGGTAGGATCATGGTCTGAGGGTAACCCCAGGCAAAAAGTTTGAGCCCTTGTCTGAAAAACAAAACCTAAAAATACTTTTAATTATAAAAGTAGCATGTTTATGGTAGAAAATTATAGATGATAATTATATTTGTATATGTATATATATGGAAATACTGTATGTAAATATTATACATTATAAATATACAATTTTATATGCTATATAAACATATACTAAAATGCTATTTAAGCATATTTCTACCACCTGTTGGCAGTCTTTAACACTTTAGTATGCTTTTCTTTCAGTCTTTTATTCACTGTGAAAATAATTAGATCATTTGATGTAGACCTGAGTTACTGTCTTACCCAGCTGGTATGACCATTTCATGGTGGTAGGAATTCTTTTACCATACCTTGCCTACCATAAATAAGTATCCAAAACATTCATTAGCCAGCGTTAGGTGCTCAATTTACTTCTTGTTAATTTAAAGTTCATTGTTAGTTTTCACAGTATCCTTTTTTCATATCTGTTACTTGTGTACAATAGTATAGACTTTAAGGATGTATGACTAAGAAACAGTTAACTGCTGGAAACACAACCCTAGTTTTCTGACCAAGCAAGACAGTATATCATAAAGAACCCTTTTGAACTAATCTTGGCCTGTCTTAACTTTTACTTAGGTGAATTTAAAAGCAAATATTTTAAGATATTAAAGGAAATTGGGAAATTTGTTGAAAGGTAGCTCGTCGTTTGGGGAAGCTGGGTGGCATTATGGGAAAGATGAACCAAGTGTCTGCAGTATGGCACTGAACTCTGCATCCTGAGCATTCGTGGTTTTTCCTAAGTGGCATTCTTTTTGGAACCATATACTTGCAAATACTGGAGAACTACTGTATATATTTTTTCATAGATTTGAATTTTGTAATTATCTCTGTTCTTAAGAGCTTGGAGAACAATAAAAGTCATTGAAAATATCTTTTACTGATTCAGATTGGGGGTGTCAGCTGTATAAGAGGGACATGATTTTTTTCCTGCTGACCCTTACCTTCCAGCTCTCTTGTAGCTCTCTTTCAATTGGCAATTTTTAGTTTAAATCAGAGCCCCAGAGTAACAACATAGGAAAGCTTATACCATGACTGCCATTCTTCAATTGGCATTTCAGATAAGATTTAAAGTTTAAAACTATTTTCGAAATAGGAATCCCTTCGGTGCTCGGATTGAACTCAGGCCCTTGCTCATGATAAGCAAGCACTTTACTCTTGCACTGCATCCCCCGCCCTAAAACAGGAAGTTAATTTGTGTGTGTGTGTTGTGTGGTGTGTGGTGTGCTAGGGATCGTGTGTGTGAGTGTGTGTGTGTGTGTGTGTGTGTGTGTGGTGTGGTGTGGTGTGGTGTGTGGTGTGCTAGGGATCAAACCCTGGTCCTTGTGCACTTTTAAGTAAGTGCTTTGTCAACCCTATCCCCTTAAGGTGGAGTTTGGTGGTGGTGGTTAAAAATGTTATTTATCTGCATAAGGTTGATTAAGTCTTAATTTTCAGCACGTGAAACATGGTAGTCTGACCTTAAAATGTGTTTGTATGATTTTTTTAGGAGATCATGAATCAGGCAGATAAAAATCAACAAGAAATGCCATCATACCTTAGTGATGAACCACCAGAAGGTATGTATAACACTATGAAGGAAGAATAAATTAGTGAATTAAAGCTTTGTTTTATTAAATTTAAAGGATTCTAGCCTGTTTACCTGGTTGGTAAACATGTTCCAAAAATAACTGAAGATAAACATTTTAAGCCTGTAGTAAGAAAGCATGGATCTTGGTGGAGACAATTTAATTTTATTGTATGAGGTTTATTTCCTGTCATACTTTAAGACCATTTCACAAGCAAGAATATCCTTTCATTTGTAAAGGGTGGGCAGTACAGAGAAAGCCTGGACTGTTTATTTTGATGTCCTTAATGTAAAAAAAAATCATCTTAATTCAAGAGTCATTTGAGGTTTTTCCTTTAAATTCCTGTTATTCATTACTATTTTGGCAACTCTTTCCTATATTCAAGATCTTCCATGGACTTGGAGTCTGATTAATCTGTCTTTCTAAATCATCATTCTCTTTTTTTGTGTCATCATGAATTTATTCTTCTAAAAGCTTTGGAAATACTAATTGCTCCTACCCCCATACCCCAGCAATGTCCTACTCCATACAGAAAATGACTACAGACCTTTTTTTACTTATGGTTTTGGTATAGACTTATAATACTTAATACAAGCTCAGTTTGTAGAATTTTTTTCTTTCCTCCTTAAATGTTGTTGGTTTCCCCATGTTCCAACTGTAATAACCTTTTCAGCTTTGGTGGTCTCAGTTGGACCTATGTACCCAAGAATTTACTTTTCATTGTGGAAGATTGTACTTTTTCGGTGGATGCAACCTGAGTTGTATAGTTAACAAATATTTTACCATGAAATTTAGAAAAGCACCATTGCTTACACATTGCTGCTGCCTAAATTATTAGGTTACAGAGGAGAAAAGGCCTGTGTTCACTTGAAACTTGTATAATCACACTTTTTCCTAGTCATCTTATGAGTTTGTAAATCAAGGACACATTTAAAATACATCTTTTGAAATAGAATTCTGTTTTATGAAAGTTGTCTAGTCTTTTCATAGACACAAAGACAGCATTGGGGCGGGCCTGGTGGTGGATACCTGTAATCCCAAGCACTTGGGAAGATGAGGCAGGAGGATCTCAAGTTTGAGGCCAGCCTTGGCTACATAGTGAGACACTGTCTCAAAATAATGTCAAAGACTTAGTACAACTGTACCCTTGAGGCAAGAGCTCCTTAGTATCTTTCATTCAGTCAATATAGTTGGCCTTCTATCAGTGAGGAGGGTTATGTAATGATTTTGAACTGCTTTTTTAAATACTTACATTTGACTGTGTCATGGTATTTTCTCTCATTAGGTTCAATGAAAGATCATCCACAGCAGCAGCCGGGCATGTTGTCCCGTGTGACTGGGGGAATATTCAGTGTTACAAAGGGAGCTGTTGGTGCCACCATTGGTGGTGTGGCTTGGATTGGTGGAAAGAGCCTGGAGGTGACCAAAACAGCTGTTACAACTGTGCCTTCCATGGGAATAGGGCTGGTGAAAGGGGGCGTGTCTGCTGTGGCTGGAGGTGTTACAGCTGTTGGGTCTGCTGTTGTAAACAAAGTGCCCTTAACAGGAAAGAAGAAAGACAAATCTGACTAAAATGTGGAGGTATACTTGCTCTCCCCAGCATTGTGATGCCAGTGGCATTGGATTGCTAACTTATGGACCTCAACCACATCACCTGTTTGGATGCTTATCTCTAAACTGCTGTGTTGAAGGTATTGGTGGCTTTCACCTAAAGAAGAGACTATACTAGCACAGTGTGTGAAGGTTTCTCATACTTAAGTTCCAGCTTTTTATCTGGTAAATGTTACACTTACTAAGCTGTAACTGAAGATATGGTATGTTAAATATTTACTATAAGTCTTTCAGTTTGACTAAAAATGTGAAAATTGAATTTAGTAGATGATCTTTACAGTTTCAGATGTACAGTGTGCCACGTTAACTCATACAGCCCTTATGAAGGGGAATCTTGAATACATAAACTGTACCTTTGATGTGCCTAATAGTTTCAAATGTTGTAGTTTTTTTTTTTTTTTTTTAAATAACCATAGTTGTGTAGGCCAAAAGGCATTTTTTTTTTCTTATTTAAGATGGGGAAAGTAGCAGGAATTCAAGAAGTTATAAAGAAAATTGTTTTATGACACGGTTAACCATCTTTTGTTAGATATGCATTCTATTCATTTAATCATAGATGCCTTACAAAAGAAAACATCTTTTCTGATATCTTAAATATGTGTAGTTCATAGAATTCTACCAATAGATTGTTTTAAAGGTTATGAAAGTGCTTTCCCTATTAAGAAAGACTCTCAGGAGTAGTGAGGTAAAGACATTTCTTGCTATCAGTGGGTAAGATAGTGCTTGCTAACTGTTGTGGCAGTAGTTAAAATCGAATTGTACACTTCAACCTTGGTTCGCACTCCATGGTTAATACACCTCACGGTGCCTAAGGAACATTTCTTAATTGGTCAGAAGCTATGTTGAAAGAGTTTCATATTAAGGAGGAACAAATGCTAATTTTAAGTTCTTAAGAATTACCCTCAGTGTACCCCCAGTACAACAACATGATAATAATATAAAAAATAAAAGTTATCCAAACATCCAAGTTACCAAAAGAATCCTTCACATTTATTCTGTCTTTAGAATGTCTTAACTACATCAGCAGTACTCCCTTTTAAAAATATGATTATAGTCACTACAGAGTATGTGAGCACTGACTTTTAAATTGAATAAAATGGGCTTTGTAGTGAGTTTTGAATATAAAATACATGTGAGTGCTTTCAGTGGCTTCTTTAGGCTTTTAAAATAGGTTTTAGTCCTTTAAAGCAGCTGTAGACTTTGTACCATTTTTCAAGCCAGATTCAGGCAGAAAACTGAAGTTTCTGATTATGGATGTTAAATGTGTTCTGTCTTGATATATGTCATTATGTCTCATTTTCAAAGAATATGTCTTCGCTGGAATTTTTTTTTTGTTCCATGAAAATTTAACAACTGGCATATATATTTGGCATTCCTCTTAACTAAGGGTTATAATCCAAGCCTGAAAAAAATCTTAATTTTCTGTACACTTAAATCTGGAAATTTGTCTCCATTCTGCTCCTTTGAAGGAAGGAAGAAAGGGGATGATGCCCTGCAGTAAATAAGTCAAAATTTAGTGTCCTTGGGAACTTCAACAGATCACCCTAACACCTGAGGCTTATGTTTATCTATAGCCATGAGTATTATGTTAATTTTGTGGATCAACAACTAGATAAGAATATAACTTTTAAATGCTTCCATTAAGTATCAGCAGGGATTTTCAGCAAATCTACAAAAGTTGTGAACCTCTCTGCTTAAACAAAACTTAGTCATTAAGGAATTCAGCTCATTTATAATTAAATGGTCATTTATTTCATGTGATTTAAGACATCTGTTGATATATCTGGTCAGATGTCTTAATTAACAAATGGGATTATATGTTAAATTCCACATTAACAGGCGAATGTTAAATGATCTAAATGATGGTATTGGAGAAGTTGTTTCCTGTTTAGAAGAAATTATTGCTTAATTGCTATTTTGAATTTCTAATTTATCTTCTAGTCATAGGCTCTGCTGTGCTTTGTACTTGAGTTTTTTTCTATGTGTAGACTAGTATATGTTTGCATATTTATTTTCAACACTGCTTGTCTTTAAAATTGCTTGAGGAAAAATGACTTAGAATTAATTTCTGCTACAGAAAAGCCACTTCTGGTACATTTTATCTCATCAAGATTGTTTTAAATTCTAAACTACAACTTTGTTCAGAGGGGCTTTTGCAATGCTAGCAGAGAGCTGTACAAATGTGCAGTTAGCTGTAGAAGTTCTGACTGAAATGAACTTGTTATTTGATATGTACAGCTGTACACCTGAGTCCTTTCCAGTTTATTTACATAGATTAGCAACTCCACCTGTTACACAGGACTAGTTCACTTCAAGAAACTATGGTTATTGTATACACCTGGAGGCATCTGTTATTCAGCTTATTTTGGAGTAGATATTTGGCACAATGACAATAGACTTGTGTGACACACTTCAAAGATCTAATAATGTTGACATTATGAATCCTGTACTTAGTGAATTGTCAGATGAAAATAACTGAATAATGTTTTTTGTATTAAAGGGATGGAAAAAGAACACATGAATCTGTTAATAAAGCTCTATGATCTGCGAAGATGGAATGTTTTCATAAAGCGCTAAAGAAATAAAGGAAATTTTAAAACAGGACAATCTTAAAACTTTTAGTTACATAGCAGTTCAGAAAGTGCTATAGCCAATTTTTAATTTTTGTGATAATGTACAAATATGACATCCTGGAATATGTATTTTGATGCTAACACAACAGTAAAATACAAATATATTTATAACAACTTTAATAAAGATTAAAAATGCAGATTTCTAGGTTTTACCTCAACTTGTTGAATCTCTTGTGCACACTAAGGTTTGGAATCTGAGGAAGAAATGATGAAGTAGAGAGCGCTTCTGTCTGTCCTGTGTAGCAATGGGGCCAACTGAAGTGTCTCCGTGCACAGAAATAGCTAAAAGGGATGGGGAAGAAGGTAGGTAACTGATACTTACTGACTGTCTGCTTACCTGTGAGATTCTGTTGTACATCATCTGAGGCCCTTATGAGGGAAGTCTTTCCTCTTCCTATCCCTTTCCCTCCCTCTCTCTTTCTTTCTCCTCCCACACTCCTCTCTCTTTTTCCTTCTCCCCCATCCCCCTTTTTTTCTGGGCCATATAATGAGACCCTTATCCTGTTGCCCTATTATCCCAGGTGCTGAGATTATAGGCATGTACCACACCTTTTTTTTTTTTTACTTCCTGTGTTTTGAGATACTCTCTTGCTGTGCAACCAACGGTGGCCTGAAAGTCATGATCCTCCTGCCTCAGGCTTGGGATTACAGGCATGTAATGTACTACCATACCTGGCAAGGAAAGTATCTTTATTCTGTTTTACAAATACAGGTTTTTCAATGTTAGTTGAGTCTCCTGTATTACTTTTGAACTAGTGTTAAGTCTCAACTTCTCCAGCTTTTGTCCAGGAACAGAAATGGAGCTGCTCAATAACTAGTCCGTCTGGTATTGACAGTGCAGCATGTATGTTTGATTTACCAAGCCTAACTTGAAATTCACTGGAAGTCTTGCAGGGGGTCAAATTAACAAGTTCCATTTTGCTGCAGAAATGGATGTGGTTTTATAAATTGAAGAAAATTTCATTTTGTGCCAGGCCTGGTGGCTCACACCTGTAATACCAGCAACTTGGGAGGCAGAGATCAGGAAGATGATGGTTCAAGGCCAGCATGGACAAAAAATTTTGAGACCACATGTCAACAAACTGGATGTGGTGGCACATGCCTACAACCCCAGCTATATGGGAGGCATAGCTAGAATCAGTCTGTGGCCAAAAGTGCAAGACCCTGTATGGTAAATAACTTAAGAAAGGGCTGGTGGCATGGCTCAAGTGGTAGAGTGCCTGCCTAGCAAGCACAAGGCCCTGAGTTCAAACCCCAGCACTGCCAAAAAAAAAATTACATTTTGTTATTAGAGTTTTTTTTTTTTTTTTTTAAACGGGAAATAAATTTGACTCTAAGGCTGGTGGAGTGGCTCCAGTGATTGATAGAGCACCTACCTAGTAAGTGCAAGGTTCTTGAGTTCAACCCCCAGTACCACCAAAAAGAAAAAAAAGACTAGTGTTTCATGTAAGGATACCTACACCTGCTATGTTAATTTTGAATTTTAAAAATCGTTTCATTGTGAGAGCTGAGTGAGAATGTACGAATGGAAAAGGGAAAAGCAGAGCTATTTTGGAGGCTCATAACCAAAATCAATGGACTGGGGTGGGGGGGTGAGGGGGGAATTTGGCTTAAGGGAAAATAACGTCGCTAATACTGAGTGAATGGGAGTGTGGGTCTTTTTTTTTTTCTGGAGGGACTGGGGTTTGAACTTGGGTTTGTGCTTGCAAAGCAGGTGCTCTTGCTTAAGTCACATCTCCAGTCTATGGGTCTTATTTTTTTTTTTAACCTTTTCAAGTAAGCATGTTACACATACATTTTATAACTGTAGCTGCTTCTGGTTCTCAGTGCCTGGACCTAAATTTCTGGCTTCTGTACTGACTTGCCTCCTTTGAAACTAATGGCCATAAAGCACACAGGTCACTCAACTTTGGCCAAGATTTCTTATTTATCCTTTTTCATATGTTTACTTTTCCCTTCAAAATGACCATTTCATACTAGGCATGGTGGTACACACACCAATCCCAGCACTCTGGAGGCTGAAGCAGGAGGATCATAAGTTCAAGGCCAGCTTGGGCTACACAGTGATACCCTGTCTCCAAACAAAAATAAAAAACCAAAAGTTACTTCACATCTCTTCCCAGCCCTCCTACATATTTCCTCTCCCTCCCCCCTTCCTGCCTGTTCCCACACTGTGGACCAGGACAAGTATCTCTGCTGTCATCCAAAGTCAACCTACCATCCTTTCTTGAAGATGTTATCCTGCAGTTTTTCCATAGCTTGTCTCTCCTTGGTCATACCCAGCAGCATATAAATGTTCTTTAAACAAAAATTAGTCTCACAACCTCCATTAAAAAAAAATTTCCTTCACATCAAATTTTTTGAAAAACTTGAGTTTCCTGCCTCTTCCTCATCTGCATTTTCTCAACCTGCACGAGTTGGCCGTCTTGCCTTCCTCTCTACCAAAGTCATTCTTGATAGAGTTAGTCAATGATTTTCTTTTTGCCAAATCCCACTGGTCACTTCTCTGTATCTTAGTTGGCCTCTCAGTGGCCATGTCCACTCTTCTTCCTCTGATCCAAATTTTTCTGGGCTTGGCCAGCCATCCTGCCTTTTCTAGTCTACACTCTTCAGGCAATCTCTTATCTAGAGCCATGACTTTAAATACCGTAGCTATGTCAGCAGTCCCCAAATGTGTTCCTCCAGTTTTGATTTCTCACAACCCCAGACTTGGCTGTTTGTCTGATGTCCCTGCAAGGTTGTCTACTAACCAGTCTCACAACTGACACCCATTGCCACGGTGACCATATGACATACAACAGATTTCAAACTGGTACACAGTGAAAGAGCATCATTGCTGATCTGTCAGGACAATACTCTCCCAGGTCCTCATCACCCTTTAAATGAAACCCTGCTGGATGAACTTGTGGTTCTTACCTTGTGCTTCTCTTCCAATCACTCACCTCTAGCTTTTTTTTTTTTTTTTCTTGTGATGCTGAGGATCAAATCCAAGGTCATGTGCTTGCTACGCATACACTATACCACCATGCTACATCTCCCAGCCTCTGGCTTTCTCCTTTTTCTTGACAGCGTTTCTTTGACAGATATTCCTGAGCAGTGCCATACGCTAAGTCTCCTTATCTTCAGAAAAGTAACTGGATTGTAAAGCCTAAAGTACGTGGGATACTTGGTGCTACATAGTATGACAACTAAGGAATTCAAGATTTGGATTGTGAAGGTTACTTGCATTTGTTGAAAGAATGGAAAAAGTATTCTGCCTGAATTTTTCATGAATTTTTTTCAGTATACTTAAAAGGGCGTGTATATATAATGCACAGATGTTCAGTGTCAGTCAGTTGTTTGGTTGTGTATCTGTTACAGAGTTCAAACTGAGCCAGTTTTTATCTGGGTAATGTTTACCTTTGAACATGATTCAGAAACAGAAATTTGGAAATGCCACCACTAAAATTAGTACTGACCATCACACCCTTTTCCTTGTAGGTAGACCTACATTTTCAGAAAGCTTTCTAGAAAGCTACATTTATTTAATTAGTTTTTGGTAGTGGGTTTTTTTTGTGTGTGTGTGATACTTGGGTTTGAATTCAGGGCTTGAACTTGGTGCTTCTGAAGCAGGTACTCTACCACATGAGCTACACTTCCAGCCCGTTTATTTCAAATGTATATAAATTTAGAAAACTTCAAATTATAAAAGATCATATAGTTTTCTTTACCTCACTCCCCCCATATTTGTTGTTTGCACTCATTCTCCTGGGCATGTCAGGAGGGAGTGGCTTTTCTTATGCCAACCCATTAAAAATCCTTTCTATTTCTGAGATTTGAACAGAAGTCAGATCTTAGTAAATTGGGCCCTGCCACCTGGCAGCCAAATGGCCTCTCTAGGCTTCAGATTTCCCTTCTGTAAAAGGAAGATAATGCATGTGTCTCATAAGAGGTATGGTCAATTTGAGACAAACTGATCATAGAAGTAGACTCTTCTTTCTGGATGAGTTAATACTTGGTTCTCAAGTATATACATTTATTCCTAACACAAGGTGAAGCTAATTTTTCTTGTGTTGGGAGTTTGCTCACTAAGCTACAGAATTCAGACCACAGGAGAATGGTGTCTCAGGGCTCTGGTGAGGAAGACTGGATGTGCTTAGGTGAGTGCTAGATGAATAAAAATGTCACCCTACTCTGAATTAAGTGTGAGTACTTGTCAGTTTCTTCAGAATGATTCACATAAAATACCATGCTGATGTGCTACTGGACAACAGTACATGAGGTTTAGAAATAATTCAAGGTGAAAGTTAACAACTTAGGCCTGGGAGTGTGGTTCACAGGGTAGAGCACCTACCTAGCAAGTGCAAGGCTGAGTTCAAATCCCAGGAATGCAAAAAAAAAAAGTAAGTATCCAACTTTATTTAGAATAAACAAAATTTATATTTTAAAATACAACAAATGAGTCAGATCATTTGTTAAGAGGTAAGTTAAACACAACGCAGAAGCTATGGGTCTTTAAAATTACTGGTGCCTATAGTCCACCTGAATTGTTTAAATCTTTGCGAAATCAGTTTTACTCTACCTGCTAGAAAGGAGACATGGGTCAATATGTCACTCTTTAACATTTAATGGTGCCACAGGGTTAAATAACGGCCTTCCTTTTGTGGCTTGCATTTTGCCAAAGTTAGCCTCAAAATCCTTTTTTGTTCCAGACAGATTTGCCAGTTGTCCATCCTTTATTCTGTAGCCCAAGGAATTCAATTTCCTTATCCTGTACTGAACTATCTGTGGCGTTAATTCCAGAACCATTGGTGCCTCTTTTATCTGAGCTGTGGAAATTCCTTCTTTCAATAGTCCCCGAATCCGCTCTTCTAAAACTGCAACAGAATAATATAAAAGTGCAGGACATTTCACAACTAATTGCTTCAGGTCACCAGCTGTGCATTCCAAAACAGCCTTAGAAAAGGAAATACTGTCCTGTATACTTCTGGGGCAAAGCTGAAAAAGAAATCCTTTGAGTTTGGACAGAAGTTGAAGAACTTCAAAGTTTGTGAAACCTTGCTCCTGGAGACATTCTAGTATTTCCTTTATAACTGCAGGAGATTTCAACAAAATAAATGGGTTTTGGCTTAATAATTTGAGTAGCCAAACTTTCATGTTGGCCTCAGAGCCACCTAAATTTAGGTAGCTCTCTTGCAGAATTCTTATCATTTGCTTATTAGTCTCAACAGGATTATGAAAAATACTAGGTGCAGTTGTCAAAAATCTGCTAATGACCACATTCTTTAGTCCCAGCTCTTGAAAGAACCGAATGTTGAGCTTCCGGTTTTCCTGGTCCTTAACAGTGAAGAAAGAATCTGGAAACTGCCTTATTAACCTGATTAACTCTTCCTCGTTTTTGCAGACCAACTGCCAGAGTTTTCTTTCCTGGTCAACAGCAGCTGGGCTACAGACAATTGCTTCCGGACAGCGTTCCAAAATACTGGCTATCACTGTCTGGTCGGCACCTAGTTGTTGTAAAATGTTTGCAATTTCTTCAACATAGGTCTCAGCCTCCAGCAATACCCATCCTTTTAATCTACGGATTTTCCTGATGTCGACTGAAAGTTTACAGAGCTTTTCCACCGTTCCTTTGTTTTCTTCACTTGACTGTCTATTGGTTGTGCAGGTGAAGCTAGCTAAGAAAGGTTTGTATTTTGGAGTTGGTTGCATCCTTCTGAAAGAACACAGCCTGCAGGGCTGGGGTCTCATCAGCAGCTTCCACCACATGCTTGTGGTCTCCTGACTAATTCCCACGGTCTTCGGACTCAGGATGCACTCATCACACCTGTAAGAAAGAGGATAAAGACCTTTAATATAGGAGCATTGACCTTTAGGACACAGACACAAATCTGAGTTCTAAGTAGAAAGTACAGAAATAAATCGGATTTAAATTGGAAAGGAAAACTATACATAGAGTATTTAAAATACCATCTTAAACTATTATATCACACCTATTACAATACACCTGGTCACAACTTAGATGTCTCCTCGTCAGTAAAGCATTGCCTGAGCTCTGTAGCACCTATGTGAAGTAGTCACTTTACACAGACTTCAAAGGCTTACAGATCTCAAGTGTTACTCTGACACATATTCTCCTTCCTACAACTTCTCTATTTCCTTCTAGGTGATATCATAAACACATACACTTTTTTTTTAAACAAATGTTTTAAATTTAAAAAAAAATTGAAATTAAAAAAATGTTGATGTTTAGGTAGAGCACATACTCATGAAAGGGCCTGAAAGGCCACCTTCACTTTTATATTTTTACTGAATAACTATCTGCCAAAACAGTCAATTTTATTTTAAAAAGTTAATAAATATGTACTCATTTTATCAGAATTAAGTGAATGGAACCTTTTCTTTTTGGTGGGACTGGGGTTTCAACTCAGGGCTTGCACTTTGCAAAGCAGGCAGTCTACCACATGAGCCACACCTCCAGTCCATTTTGCTCGGGTTATTTTGGAGATGGGGTCTCATGAGCTATTTGCCTGGGCTGGCCTCAAGCTATGATCCTGCCAATCTCAGTCTTTTAATAGTTAGGATTTCAGGCATGAGCAGAACTCCTTTTATAAACCCAGAATTAAAGTAAGTCTTGTCTCATACATCAAGAAGTGCCATGTGACTACCTTCATAGAGCAATGGGAAGTCAGGTGAGCTGCGGGATGGTGAGCATTCCACACTTCTCTAGCCCAAACCTCATTCTGACTCTAGTTCACAGAGTTGACTTCAGAGAATTCAGTTAGCATCAGACTAAACAACGGAGAAGTGACTTGAGCAGTGTCTCACAATCTACCCAACTGTCCTCACTTGACATGGCTGGGTATCAAAAGATAGCTAGCTATATTCTGTCTAATGCATTGTAACTTTTGCCACAGTAGGCAGCAATACTCCACCTGCACCTTCTTGGGGTCAAGAATTAAAATGACAAAGTAGATTAACAGGAGAAAAGCATACAAACTTATTTAATAAGGTTTCACATGGCATGGGAGCCTTATAAGGGAGTGAAGACCCAAAGAAGGTTATTGGACACAGCAGTACACTGTGAAGAAGCAACTAAGTTATATGAGAAGGCTCATGAGATAAAAAGTTATTTTAACAAGGTCTGCACAGAATTCTTTTGGCTTCAACTTCTCATCTTTAAGGAAGATGTCACTCCTCTTGGTGGAGGGAGAGTGTCTTTTGCACGAGAATTTCACCCACTTTTAGGAAACAGGAGATCAGAATGAATGTCTGGTCCTGACTCTTAACTTCTGAGTGATCCTGGGAAGTTGGTTAGCCTCAGCCTCCATGACACAGAAGCGATTCCAACGGTGCCTCACAGGAAGTGCTCAATGGGTACTGACAGCAGAGGTCTGTAAAGGAGAGAACAGCACCTAAGTCTCACACGGACTTTGACCTTCTCACAGAAGGTCAAAATGCACTTCAGGTACTGTGCAGTGCCTTGATGAATGGTAGCTATTACTGAGAAATATGGGGAGTCAAAGTCTTACAGTAATATGCCTATAAATTATTATTATTTTAGAAGTAAATTAAGTAACTATATAAAACTAATACAGGAGAGAAGCTGCCAAATTCTGAGAAGTGTAAGGAAGCAAAAAAACCTTTCATGACTTCACCATCTACAGACAACTGTCAAATTTTGACAGGTATGTCCACTTTTTTCTGTTTCTCACCCTTTTCGTTATAATTCTTTAATTATACAAAGCAAGGCTGTCTTGTGCATGGGAGTTATGTACTGTGAGGCCAGCTTGTAAAGTGAAATTACCTATAGCTAAGTACTTCATGTGCGTGAAACCATACCGCAGCATATTTGTGTCTGGCTTATTCACTTAGTACTCACTTTCAAAGTTCATCCAGGTTGTGCAGCAAATATTGTAACAAGGCACTTGCTTTTTTTTCTCTTCCACTTTCTCAGGCACCTTTATTCATGCAGATTTTTGGCCAGGGGTTGGAGGGCTGGCTTTGAAATGTTACTTAAGGAAGCCAATTCCTCCCAAAGTCCCCACCATTCTTCCATAGTGAGCAGTCCTAACATTTCCATGTGCATTTATGAGGGAGGTTCAAAAATGTTCTGCCTACAGGTTTTTGCTGGTCTGGCCCTAGCCCAAAAGAGTGGTATACTAAGGGACTAAACTTGTAGTACCACCTACTGGCCTGCTCTCAGGTTCCTGCAGTGAGAGAATCACAGTGACTTCATTTTGTAACAGAAGAACTTGACTCCTGCATCCCCCACGTAGTTAATAAATAGGATGAATTATTTCTTAGTATTATATGCTTGCAATACGAGCGTTTGGTGATATGGAGAACTTTAAAAAATCAAACTGTTTTCATTAAGGGTTTACCTGCATGAAGGGCCATACCACTCCACAGTTTCTTCCATTATTCACCTTTTTTATTCTTTTTGTTTTGTTTTTTTGGGGCAGTACTGGAGTTTGAAACTCTAGAGCTTTATGCTTGCTAGGCAGGTGCTCTACTGCTTGAGGTGCCTCCAGGCTGATTATTTATCTTTTGTATGAAATCACATTGCAGTGACAATAGTGGCTTCTAGGCTTAGCACTCTTGACACTCACTACATATCTGAATGGCAAGAGGGACTATCTCAATCTTCTGTAAGCAATAATAAAATTGTTATTCTGCAAGAATTTAGGTAAGAAATCATTCGAGTAAAATAGTACTTTTTATAAAACCCGCGCCTCCTACCTGTCCTTCATCATTTTCTAGCCAGGTGACCAGCACTGACTCAACATGACCCCTCTCTCTCTCTTCCATCTCTTTTCTATTCAGTAACTCAAAGAAAAAAATGGAGTCAATGAGTTTTAAAATCCTGCTGGTTTTTTATCATACCCATCAAAGATGAATGATGCAGGGTGTGAAGCTGAAGTATCAGAATGTAATACAAAACTCTAGTAAATGAACAAGGGACTTAAGTTTTAAGTGCTAAAGGAAGGCCAGGGGAGTTTTCCTGTATGACTCTTACTGCTTCTAAAAGTTAGCTTCCCACATTCATTTAAAATGTCTCAGAATTGGAAAAGATTTTATCAATAGCTAGCTACTTCCTAGCACCATTTTTGAACTTTTCTGTTCCCATGATTTATGATGCCTCCTTTTCACATATTAAATGTAGCCATTGTCAGAGTCTCCATCACCTTCCTCCTGTTTTGCAATGTCCTGAATAGGTCAGAAGACTTGTAGTTCTAGCTCTAACTGCATACTTGGCCCCCTCTACCAGCATCTTAAAACAATCTCTGGTCAACTCACTCTTCTGCATCTCCCATTAACAATCTCAAATCTTCTCATCTCATACCTACAGACTCCCCACACCTCTGTTCACGCTTCTACCCTCAACCTTGCCACATATTTGTACAAAGAAAGACACACATGCACAAGTCTACCACTATCTCCCCTCCCCTACAGTTCTACCTTTCATTTCTAGGGTAACCCCTGCTCCTGTGCTTAGAGCCCTTCTTTCCTACCATACCTCGAAGATACTGCAGGTTTGGTTCTAGACCTCTGCAATACAACAAGTATCACAAGTGAATCACATAAACTTCTTGGTGTCCAGTGTAGAAAAAAAGTGTGTTTATACTACGTGTAGTCTCATCAAGTGTGGGACAGCGTGTCTAAAAACACACCTAATTTAAAAATACTCCATTGTTAAAACACTAGTGGTTATCAGAGCTCTCAGCAAGCTGTAATCTTTTGCTGGTGGATGGTTTTGCCTCCCGTGATGCTAACGCACATGGCGTCAGAGCTCCTGGGTGACCAAGTACACTAAACGCACAGTATATATGTATACACACATATATACATACATGTACATACACATGTACATCTATGCATCTGTGTATATGTGTGTGCATATATTATATATGTGTGTGTTTTTATTATATATCTATTTTTCGGCAGTACAGGGGGTTGAACTTAGGGCCTTGCATTTGCTAGGCAGGCACTTTACTGCTTGAGCTGCTCCATGAGCCCTTTGGAAGGGATCTTGTTTTCTGAGTAGTAGGTTTCAACAGTGGGCTCAAAATATTCAGTGAACAGATGTGCTGTCATCTAGACTTTGTTGTTCCATTTATAGAGCACAGGCAGAGGAGAGTTACTGTAATTCTTCAAGGCCCTAGGCTTTTCAGAAAGGTAAATGAGCACTGGCTTCAATTTAAAGCCACCAAGTTCATCAGTCCCTAGCAAGAGAGTCAGCCTGTCCTTTGAAGCTTTGCAGCCAGGCACTGACTTCTCCTTAGCTATGCAAGACTTTCATGGTGTCACTGTCCAGAATAAGGCTGTTTTGTCTACACTGAAAGCTGGTTATTGAAGTGTAGCCATCCTCACTTGTTGTCTTAGCTAGATCTTCTGGATAGCTCGCTGCAGCTTCTAGACCACCACTGGTGACCTCTCTACTTTCATGCTATGAAGACAGCTTTCCTTAAACCAACTTCCACTGGCTTCTTCTGCAGCTTCCTCACTTTTCTCGGCCTTCACAGAATTGAAGAGAGTTAGGGTTTTGCTCTGGATTAGGCTTTGGTATACAGGGATGCTGTGGCTGGTTTATCTCCTATGTAGACCACCCAGACTTTCTTCATATCTGCAGAAAAGTGCTTTGGCTGTCTCATCTGTGTGTTCCCTAGAGTAGTACTTTAAATTTCCTTCAAAACTTGTCCTTTGCATTCATAGCTTGGCTAATTACCTAGCATAAGAGGCCTGGCTTTTTGCCTGTCTTGGCTTTTGACATACCTTCCTCACTAAGCTTAATCATCTCTAGCTTTTGATTTCAAGTTAGAGATGTGCAATTCTTCTCTTCACTTGAACACTTAACAGGCTACTTACTATAGTGTTATTAATCGGCCTATTCAACATTGTGTCTCAGAGAATAGGGATGCTTGTGGGGGAGAGACACAAAAAGGGGGAAAGGGACTGGTGGAATGGCTCCAGTGGTAAGAGCGCCTGTTGCGCAAGTGTGAAGCCCTGAGTTCAAACCCTGATGCCACCAAAAAAAAAAGGTGGGGGGGGGAAGGAGAGACAGAGACAGAGAGAAAAAAATGCTGCTGGGAAAATGATGCTAACAGACTTGCTTCAAACAAGGTTGTCACAAACCTTCAGTTAATAAAAAAACACAGTATCTAAAAAGTGCAATAAAACTAAACACAATAAAACAAGCTATGCTTTTATTCACTCCTTCAGCTGCACCTTCCTGATTTTCCACCTTTCTTCCTCTGCACTTCTGCCTCTCACTGCTTGTCCAGCTAAAACCACCTCTGTCTCTTGCCTTCAGTTAATTAATGCAGATCCTCCTGTTTCTTCTCTTCCTACTTATATGGCTCTCAGTAAAGACAACTTCCACGTGGCTAAAACTAATGCACAGTTTCAGTTCCTATTGCTTTTGACCTCTGCAGCTTTCAGCATAGTTGGCCACTTTCTCTTCAAAATATTCTCTCATTTGACTTCTAAGACGTGCTACTCTCCTCCTTTCTACACTTTGGGCCACTCTCCCTCTTCTTACCTTACAGACTCTTCCAAGAAATTTTGTCCTTGTCCAGGGCTTCAGTTAATACGCATGGGCTTCTCTCCATCTTCTTCTCAAAATGTGACCTTGTCACCTCTCTGCAATAGACTTTTCAATGGCACTTTAGGACAATGACCTTAAATAATTCATAGATGGCCTACAAGGCCTCTTTGGGCTCTGCTACTGCTTTAATCCCTGTCTCCTGCTCCTACACTACCTGTTCCTATTTCTTCTCAGTCCCTGGTACTCTACCTGTTCCCCTACATGGTCTTTGAAGACTGTGGACTACTCTCTATGCTCAAAATGCCTCTAATAACCCTCGGTCTAAGTATCACCCTCAAAGAGACTTCCCTGACCTTCATGAATAGAAGGCTGCTGTCTCTTTTTAAGGCTTTTATGGCCCCACAGACTGAAACTCTGACCGCAGATGCTCATGTGTTGTTTCTGTCTCAACACTCCACTGTGTTCCAGTGACTCGTTTCCCTGCTTTTCAACTCACTGGCATCGTGGCTCTATGAGACATTCCCGGCATGATGACCACCCTTTGGGCTCTTTCACAGTGCCCTGCTCTTGACGCTACTGTGACACTCATATTTTTATAAGCTGTCATTCATTCAACCAGTAGGTTTTTTGTTTTTTTAAGTTCCACCTGTACATCAGGTATCATGTTAGGCAGTAGCTCTTCTGCTCAGACAACACTTCTTCATATTTTCCTTGTGGTCACAGACCATCTGTGAACTTGACAGCCACAGACTCTTTCCAGAAAACAGCGCCCACACCCACAACACTTTGCAAACGATTTTAGCAGGACGCATGAACACCCCGCAGCCTAACCATGAACCAGCACTCAATTTATAAGCACTGGGGGGAATGGAGACCGAGCACATTCAGCTTTATCCCGTATAAGAAGCAAAGAACCTGGGCCACAGAGGCACAAAATCAGTGCTTGTAAATTGAGACTGGATGAACAAATCAAGTTCAAGAAGTCACTTAATGAAGAGTGGAGCCACACTGCCTGGTCGGCTGAGGCTTGAGGACGTCACTTCGCCCCTCTGTGCCTCAGTCTGGGCATGAGGAACATGGGGACACGACTTGCTGGTGACGGTGAAGATTAACTGAGCTAAAAACACTCTTCACGTAGGCTACCCCGCCACGTCACCGTACAGCCTTCTAAAAACGAGGGCACGTGCAGAAAAGTAAGCCGGCTCAGGGCTGCTCCGCTGGGAGACGGCAGGCCTTGGGGTCAAGCCTGCAGCGCGCTCGGTAAAGGCCGTTAAACCGCCGTGGCCTGTCCAGGGTTGCCCGGGTGTGTGTGCGTGCGGCGAGAAGTCCGCTAGTCACCGCACGGTCTTTACAGTTAGCGCAGTCCCTCCCGCACACAAATGAACGTCTACTGCCACGAGTACGACCTGCCGACTGTTTCAAATCCATGCCAAGGTTTACAAACGGAAAAACGAAGTTCCGGGGACAGCACCACAAAGGTCGCACAGAACTTTCCACCGCGGTGCGGTGGCGACCCGCCGCGGGGGTGAGGACCACACCGAGCTGGAGGCAGCGACTTACCTGTCGGCGTCCGCTCGCAGCGATCCCTGGCTCGTCCTGGCTTCCTCTCTCCCCAGCACGTCCACCCGAGAGGCGCGGTCTCCTCAGCACCTCTGGCCGGGTTCCCACACAGCGCCCCTTCCCACCGCCAATCAGACTACTTCGCCCTTTCACCCGTAACCAATCAGAGCTCGGGAAGCTGGTGAACCCGAAGCCACGCCCCGCGCCTCAGCACAGCCAGTCATATCTCGGGACACCGGCAACGTAATCCTTTTACATTGCAGGGACCGGGCAGGGAGGCGTGGATAGGACTTAGTCCCCGAAAGGAATGCTTCTGGCATGTCCACACCCTGTCCTCCAGGAGGTTTTAAGAAACTTGTAGTTCCAGTCGCCTTATCGCTTAGAGAATCTCATAGTCCAAAGAAAAGAAAGTAGAATCCAGAAAACACTCAAAATTTCTTTGAGAAATTTTGCCCTCTGCCCTCCCTCTTCCCACCCTTACCCTACCCCAGCAGGAACAGACCATGTCTGAGTCCCTAAAAGCCATGCATCTTTCCCCGTCTCCGATTCCTTCACCTAGATCCTCTTTTAGTTTTTCTGATAAACTGCCACGTGGTTTACATTCTAATTTTTTTGTGATGCCTAACCTTATAAAAAATTAATTTCTCCTTAAGGCCATTTCCTGTCATTTGTTCTCATATTTATCCATCCAATCAGCAGATATTGATGCCATGCCTATTAAGGGCGGAGCTTGTGAAATGCAATGACAGGACAACAGGGAATGTGGAGACGCATGGAGAACACAGGTTAACAACGAATAACACGTTGATCATAAATAGGGCGCTCTGCTCCTGCCCTAGTTTTTGTTTGTGTGGAGAACTAGAAACAGGAAAACTGGTTTTCCCAGGCTGGTGGCTCCTTCCTGTGCACAAGGTGCACAATTCTAAGATGGTTTTGGTACACAACACTGTGGTACTTCCAGACTCCCCTCTGCTCTGGTGGACTGACTGGCCTGAGTGACTGGTTAGTTTCCTGTTAACACCGCATGGCATAGTAGTCAGGAAACGACAACTAAATCACATCTAGCCTTAGTGATTATGCTTAGTTTATGCTCAAGGGGCTCTATCTAGAGGAACTACACCTGCGTTTTAAAGTCACAGAGCAGCAGCAAGTGTACTGGCTGCTCATCTCAAGACCAACTCGATCTCCAGGATATTCTGGAATTAACTGAGCAGCTAATATATAATAAATGGAGAGGGAGTGCTTGTTCAGTGACACTTGTGCCTCAGAGTTACTAGTATAAAAATATTCATGGATTTATTGCACACTTTTTCTTGAAATACAAGAATCTGGGGTCCAAACAAAAATGTGCCACTTGCATTTAGGAAGAGGGAATTAAGTACGATACAGAAAAGAGATGGACGTCAAGGAGTGTGAACCTGGGGGTTAGAACCATGTTGCAATCACTGGTCAAATGGTGGGGGGGGGCAAAAACATGTAGCAGAGTACTGAAGCTGATGTAATTTCTGTGTGACCCTGTGCACTGTAATCAAAATGTAAAATTGACAGACTCAGCTGTGCCAAATGCTTTAAATAAATGCTACCCAGAGTTTTCCATCTAAAATCTTGAAGTAGTTATTTCTAGGAACATATAATGAAAAAAAAAAAATCCCTTAGAAAAACGAGGCAAAAAGGCCTCATAATGTATTCAAGAAAACTGCAAATATGTTTGAATTGTGGAAAGATCCTGAAGTGTCTAGTGTGTAAGAGAGTCATTAAAAATAATTATTGGTTTTGTACATCTCAAACCTCCTAATTTAAACAAATGTGGAAAACTTAAGGGCTCTTGTAGTTTCACTGAAGAGCCTGATTCCCTCAACTCAGTTTCTAAAGTTGTCAGCACAGTGTTTTGGTGATAAGAACCCAAGAAGTATTTGCTGAATGAATGCAAGGTCTGAAATCCCTCAGCCACCAGCAGCTTTTTAGATGATTAACCCTGGCAGAGCAGGTAGAACACTGCATTTAACCGTAATGTAGCTGTTCAACCACAGCACATGGACATGTCCCTTTCCCTTTCAGGGATTCATTTTTATCACAATTTAGAGCAAACTGAAAATGCTTTCGAAAAAATCTCTTGAAAGATGAAACAATATTGCCCTACATAATACACCAGTGCTTATGTGGAGGTAGTGTTCTTTTGCTAAAATGCTTATTTACTCAGATGAAACTGAATCTTTCTCCTGGATGTTGATGGTAAATGCCAGGTCTATAAATTTCTCAGTATCGCACAGAAAAATCAGGTCTACACAGACCTGATATCATGAATACTTTTTAATGGCAAAAAGAAAATAAGGCTTTTTTTATTTTTGCAGTAATGAGGTTTGAACTCAGGACCTTGTGCTTGATCAGTAGGTGCTCTACCACTTGACCTATACTTTAGCCCCTTTTGCTTTCAGGTTATTTTTCAAATGGAGTCTCACTTTTTGCCCAGGGCCTGCCTCAGACTATGATCCTTCTATCTACAGCCTCCCATACAGCAGTGATGACAGGAGGCACTTGCCACCATGCCCAGCTTCTTTTGTTGAGGGGGCTGTCACTAACTTTTTACTTGGTCTGGCCTTGAACCATGATCCTCTGGATCTCTTCCTCCCAAATAGCTGTGATTACAGGTATGAGCCACTGCTCCTGGCAAGGCACAGGCTTTATTTTTATTCTTTTTTCTCGGTCAATAGACTGTATTGATCACTGTTAACTCATCATTCAGTGTATTTTTAGAAACTTCTTATCATCTAAAAATAGGATGTTTCTTCATTTTAAGTCAAATTTATCTTTAGTTATCTTTAAATACCATTACCATACTGGGTATTTGTACAACTGAAGATGAGTAGATTAAAAGCCATTGATTATTATTCTCCGTTGCCCAGCCCAATGGAGAACAGTGAAGAGATAACAACAACAGTAGCAATGAGAATGGCAATAACACGACTGTGGCTTCCAGCTGTACACACTGTATACTGTACAATCCAGGAGCCATGGAGCCTCGGAGCTAGCATTTATTGAGTGCTGTACTGCATGCCAAGCACTGCTACTGAGTATTTACATAGCATTAGACGACGAAGCAGGTACTACTCACATCTCCGTTTTACACAAGCTTAAATTTTCGTCTAAGGCATTTGACTTAGAACCCACTAAACTGCTGTCACATACAGCTTGATTTATATTTACAAAGCCCATTATGTGGAAAAAAATTCCATTGGTTTTAAATATTCTTGCAGATAATTTTGAAAAATAATGTTTTACCAAATACATTGTTCCAGTTTCTTTATTCAAAATGGTGATATGTGGGTTATATAATCTGTCTTGGTAATTTATAATCATATCTCACATAGCAATATTTTCTCCCTTACTAAAAACAAACAAAAAACAAAAGGAAAAAAATCACCAACTACACAAGATTCTATTATTGAATATACTTTAATAATAACAAAGTCACTTTAGTTATAAATGAACAAAAAAAGGGAGACAGAACATAACACATGATCCTTCCACAAGTTTGGGTTAACACAAGCATACATGAAACTTCAAAACATATAATGTTCATGTTAACAGAGGCTACACTATCAACTGTGATCACACAGATTTTCTAAAACGTTATTATCAAAGGGTGCAAAGTCAGGTCAAACAACAATGTCAAGAAAATTTTGTACTAGAATTTTAACAAAGTCTTAAGAAAGTCTAAAAACCTCCTATTTTCCCACAATGACTCTCAAAACTTTGATTTTTATATCAGAATATTAGTTTGCATCTTTAACTTTTAACGTACATGGAAAATTTATCAAAAATATACTGGTGGGTCTATACTAATTGTGGCTATTTCTATTTACATTAAGCAAATTCTCTTACCAAGTTCTTTATATATAAATTATCACTTGTCCTATGTGAAATTCATTAAAAAGTTAAAAACCATGGAAATGTCATTAGGAATAATGCATTCAAAATGTAACCAATTTCCATCAATGAAGAACATCTTAAAATAATTTAACTGAAAAGTACTGAATTTCCCACCAATTTCAGCTGCAACAGTATTCTTCCAGAATGTTTTCTGTGATTCAAGGGAAAAAAAAAACTGAGTAAAGCTTGACTGCATAAGTTAAATGATAAAAATTTGATGAGTGTTTACTGATATCAGCTTCAAGAAATTTAGTCTAATTAAATCTGCAAAAACAATTAAGCAATGAAGATGTAAACAGTTTGTGACAACTGAAGAAACAAAAAGTCTTTAAAAACTGGCAAGTGCACAATATAAATACTTTTCACATTAATTTAAATCAGAAAATAGTATCTCAAATCCAATTAAGTTGGATGCAGGAATGGCTTATGATACTTCTAAAAAGGGCTGACATTAAAAAAATTAAGAATTTAGATTGTAGAAGGAACACAGCAGATGAAAGAAATTTATAAATGTTTAAAAGGTAAAGATCTGGGAGAAGCTCACAAATGTCATACCAATGACATTAAAGTACACAGGCCACTTTCATTGTTTCAAACTCATTGTCACATAGTAAGGAAATGAAAAACTTGTCTTTTTCAAAGAAAAAAACCCATTTGCTTTTCAAATTTAAAGACTGATGATTCAGATGACTATAAAACTGAATGTAGCACTTTTTCCAGTACAGATGCATTTCTCTGGTCCAATAATTAGCTGAATTTCTAGCAATTGCTTAAGAGTTTATGCCTCAAGATTCTTTGGTTTGCAAATAGAAATTAGCGCCATTTTGGGAATGATCTTATTCTAGGGTAATTATATATGTGACTAAAGCAAGAAATAACACTTTACAGTATTTACCTAGTTAGTGCTCTGTCTCTGGACCTTAGGACCGATACTTTGTGTGTCCTCTTCCTGACTAGGACGCTTCCCGCTAAGACCAGTGACCATGGAGCTTCTTCCTACACATGAAAAAGTGTACATTTCAGATATGAAAGGGGACAAGCACAGTACACTCAAATGTTTCTTTCTTACCTTGCTTTAACAGGTGAGTTTGCTGACTGTCTCCATGAGCATAATGTAAAATACCACTCCCTTGAGAACAACCTGTATTTAAAACACGGGGAGATTACTGAAAATCCAAGAGATAGGTATTAAACCTGCAAATCTAAAGCTGGATATGGTGGTGCACGCCTGCAATCCCAGCATTCAGAGGCAAATTTGAGGCCAGCCTGTAGCATATAGTAAGACCCTGTCTCAAAAACAAATTCAACTTTTTAGTATTTGTATTTAAGTTCATTTATATGCTTTTTGCAGTCCTCCCCATGAACCAAAAATTACATGCCCAAATCAAGAAATCTGGAATTTAAGCTCATAGAAATGTTGACAGTTCAAACTGTAAAATCACTGACTATCATATTTGAACAAGAATTTCTGTACAGATAATTAGAAACTTGACCATGGAGGTGAAACATGGGCAACAGTGGGACAGACGCCCTCTTTCCCACTTGTTCCTCACATCCATGTTCTTCCCTAAGAGCCCCTTCAAAACATATTTTCTTGGAAATAAGGGCATAAACATCTTCCAGATGAGGGTTAGACAATTCAAATTGCACAGCAAGGAGAAGATACAGACCACATGGCAGTTACCTGGCTTAACCAACTATGTTGACCCTTCTAAAAAAGAAATACTACAAGGGAGTGGGTTGGCTAGTACAGAAAAGTTTTAGAGAAACATTTTTGTCATGTGCCCAGATAATGGAAAACAAACATTCTGGCCCATGGAGAGGTCACCTCATGGCCTCATCAGGTTTTTTTGGATAAAGAATTCAGTTTTTCAGGTACTCGAAATTGGGACAGTGAATGCCTTGGATCACGGACAAGACCCTCCATCACTGAGAAGCGACAGCTCCACTCTAAATTATAAGCTAGTCCTCCCTAGTAACATTTTAATTTATTTAAAAAATTCTACTGCCATTTACAGAATGGTCCTCTCTAATTACACAGAAAGCATTCAGCATTTGGATGTGAAAATCTGAATGTCAGGCTCTGGGCGGTGAAGTGTGTCACTGAAGGGAGCTGTACTCCTGGTCTTGCCATTTCCAGGGCTTCCCCCAACAGCAACACTTTTTGCCGTGCAGTGCTGCGTAACCCTATTTACAACTTCATACAACTACGTGAATGTACTCAATGCCACTGAACTCTACTCTTATGCTGTAAAAATGGTTTCAATGGTAATAAGTTATATGTTATGCATATTTTACTACAATAAAAGAGTCAACAAATACACCTGCTATGCAGCCCAGGCCAGTGTGGAACTTGTGATCCTTCCGGCTCTGCCTCCTGAGTGCTGGTATTACAGGCACACACACCAAACTTTGCTAACAAGCACATTTTCAATGATCGGATTGACTTATATCTTACACATTTTTCTGAGTGTCTTTATGCTACAGATGATAGGAGATACGGAGAATATAAATACTAAGGCATGAGCTCTGCTTCAGGGGTTCACAGTGGAGGAGGAACAAACAGATACATGCATTCCCTAAGTACAAAGAATGTTATTAGCGGCTGGGATGGATGTTGCAAGAGGAGGTAGTGGTGACTCTGGGGAGGGGAAGGTCAATTATACTGGCAGATTCACAGAAGTGGTCCTTAGGACAAGTCAAACTGATAACCTGGTTATATTTTCTCAAGTTCAACAATTCTATTCATTCTTCTAGTACTAAGATAAGTAAGAATAACCTCAAAAACAAAATATTTAGTAAAAAGTCAGATACAAAAAAGAACAAAAACTAGATAATTGAATTTCTATAAAGTTAAAAAACAGACAAAACTTTAGTAGTAGAAATCTGAGTGATTACCTTTGAGGAGAAGGGGAGAAATTAATAAGTTTAATAAATATATTGAGAATTTCCTTAAGATGGTATTTTATTTCCTTAGAAAGCTATGTAAAAGGCAAGCACTTAGACTTCCCAATTCCTCCCAAATTACCACTACAGGCTACAACTTCCCCATAAAATGCAGCAAACCATATTTGCACAGGAATAACAGGACAAGAAACAATGAGTATAGAAGGGAATGCTGCTGATCAATTAGCTTGTTACCAGCTTGTCATTCAGGGTCACTACCATAGTTCAATTTAAAAATGCTGAGAGCATGTAAGATGGGAACCGTAGAGTGAAAATAACTTCTATTTAACACAAAAGTATTTTCAGCTATGTGTGGTAGCACTCAGGAGACTGAGGCAGAAGGATCTTGAGTTTGAGACCAGCCTGTGCTATATAGTGAGTCCCTATTTCCAAAAAAAAATTTCTGGGGCTGTGGGTGTGGCTCTGTGGTAGAGCACATGCCTAGCCTGCACATGGCCCTGGGTTCAATCCCCAGCACCACAAAAATCAAACCAATCAACCAACTAACTAACAAACAAAACCCCCCACAAAGCACAACAGTATTGAAAATATTGCTTTTTTTTTTTTTTAAAGTTTTGTAAGGGCAAAAGTTTACCTGACAACCTTCCATCAGGATTGATTTGTACCATTAATAGCACCAAAAAGATTTTGCACTTATAAAATTTTGACTTAAAAATTACTATGGGGCAATAATTGCATTTAACGATATTGTAAGGAACTATGCTGAAATTTTAATGGTGGCTATCTCTATTAGCTGGAGTGGGTGATATTTGATATTCTTTTCTATTTTTCTAAATTCTCAATAGTAAAAAGATTTTTTTAAATAGTGAAAATGATGGTACAACAGGATAAAAGTAGGGAGAAATGTGGGGAACATTTCCTGTTCCCCATGCAGGAAATGGGGTAAAGTTTTTTTTAGAAGCTTTGAGATATAATTCACATACCATAAGCTGTGTAATTCAGTGGTTTTTCAAAGCAAACTTAGAGCTGTGCACTATCACCACAATCCAGTTTCAGAACGTCTTCCATCATCCCCCAAAGATCCCTTGTGCCCATTCATCCTGTTCCTAAGCCAAGGTACGCACCAACCCACCTTTTAGCTCGGAAAATTTGCCGTTTCTGGATAGTTCATGCAGTATGTAGTCTTTTCTGTCTGGCTAAGTTAACATAACATTTTTGAGGCTCATGCATGTTATATAGCATGTATCAATATTTTGTTCCTTTTCATGAATAATTTTCCATTGTTTGATATACAACATTTTGACTATTATGAGTAAAGCTGCCATAAAAATTACTTACAAACCCTAGGCAGATACTTAAGAATAGAATTTCTTGGATACAGCAAATTTATACTCAGCTTTTTTCAGAAACTCCAATTTTTTTTTCCAAAGTGGCTGTATCATTTTATATCCTACCTCTCAGCAAGACTTCCAGGTTCTCTTTTCTCTTTTCTTTTTTTAAAAAAACACTTCCAAAGCATTTGGTATTCTCTCTTTTTTTTTTAAATTTTATTTTTAGCCATTCTGGTGGGTATAGAGCAAGCACCTCACCACAGTTTGCCTGGTACTTTGCAGGTTTTAGCACTGAAAGTTCTGTGTTTCAGAAAACTCATCAATCCTGGGCAATCAATGACAGTTGAGTATGTAAGTGGGTATAAAGTATTACCTTACCTCACAGTGTTTTTAATCTTTTTTTCCCTAATGACTAATAATGCTGATGAACAGACAGTATATAATAAAAAAGAAATTAAAATAAAAAAGGAATTGCTATTAGGAAACAGATTGTGGTTGGTTTGTTTTATTATAAAAACAAAGGTACTTTAAGCACCTATGTATAGCTCATTTCTTTCATGAGCATGAAAAGTATAAAATTGAGAAGAAAAAGGCAATTAATGTTGAGAAGATTGAGAACTTTTTATAGTCATTTAAAAATCTAAAAAGTCATTAGGAATCTTGCCCTTGGATGTGCACTGTAAAGTACTTAAAATAAAAGCTTACAGAAAGGACAAGTGGGGACATAAAACGATATGCTTTAGAAGCACTTAAGTCTTTTCAGTGGAGTAGAAACCTGACAGGAGAAAAACTTAATAGCATTCTATTGTGGTTGTGGCTGCCCCACACCACTTCCATTTCTAGGTCTAAAATGTTCTCTCCTCCGACTACCCAAATACTACCTACCTATCCCACCATCTTTCAAAAACCTTGTCTAGTTCTTAACTCCCAGTAAGTTCTTCTTTTCTTCTATTGCAAGCAGAGGCAGTGTCTTAAAATCTATTTCTTTTTTCATTTGTTTTTGCGTTCCCTCCATGCCTCTATTTACACTGTAATCTCCATATAGCTTTTATGTCTTCCAAAAGCCTAATAGAACCCAGCTCACTCCAAAGTTTGTTACAAATATTTGTGTGATTAAATTTAAGATTTATTAATTCTTCTGTAACATCATAAACTACCTATGTTTATAAATTTGTGAATCAAAAGTATCACAATGTAACTTGCTACCATGATTACCTTTTGCAGGCAACTCCAAACAAGGATACAGACATAAGTGGACTAAGAAGCAGTGTGTACCATCACTATCCATCAGCCAGGCACCTGGAGCCTGCTGCTTCCCCTCCCTCTGCTACCTGCTTGACATCTTAGTGCTTCACAGAGCTTTTGTCTCTCACATTCAACTGTGGGCTGACAGGCAGGCTGTGAACTGAACAAGAGATCTGAAAGAACTTTTGAAATAATATAAATAATATATTGCTGAGATACACTTTAAATTGTAGGAGCTCTGAGAAAGAACATTCCTGAAGTATACTGCCATCACTGGCAACTATTTGCTGATGAATCATATTCCAGTAATGAAATATTTAATCATGTAAACAATACAAATGGCAAAACTTGGCAAAAGGGGCCTCCTTATATGGGGGAGTATGAGCTTTGGGGCTAGTCAGACTTGGATCTAAATCTTAGTTCAACCAGCTGTGGGAGGTGGGAGGTCTTAGTTAAGCTACCTAACCCTTCTAGGATTATTCTGCCAATAATAAAGTAAAAATCCTGCCACCATCTCCCTAGAAGGTTATGATGAAGATATAGGGAAATGTCCCTCCTTCTGGGCAGAAGGTAGACAGTAAAAATGAGTGCTTTTCTTTCTTTCTCTAAAAATTAGCTTTATGATGCTTTCATATGGATACAGAATATTTCTGAATTCAAAAAGTTTCAATTTTTAAAAAAGTTTTATTCATATCAGTTTAGAACATGTGACTTTTTAAGGAAGTAAGCATTTCTTAAATGTTACCTCATTTTTAGTCAAATTACTTAGCCTCACATTATTTTTGATTAGAGCCTTAGAAAATTGGTATTCAAATTTCAAATATATACTGACTTTTGACATTATTAATATCACACATATTTAGAATTTACATGGTAAGTAAGTACAAATTATAAAGAAGACTATCACAGACTAGACTTTATAATAAAGACACACATGAAAAGAACTAGAGGCCCCATGAATATATATGGTAAATCCTTTGGCTATGGTCACAGGACTACTGACATTTTAAATTATCTTACAGCTGATGTGTATCTTATAGCTAATGTGTTCATTAAAAAATAATGAACATTCTGAGAATATGAGACTTGAGTTCCATTTCACAACTTAAAATTGATTGAGAGTGATTACCCAGCATGTGTGAGGCCCTGAGCCTGATCCCTAGCTCTGAAAACAAAACAAAATAACTCATTCAGTTTTTATGAAGATCTGTAACTTGACCCAATGTCTACTACATGTAATGATGTTTTCTATCTTTAAAATGTCACCAACAGAGTGAGGATGTGTGTGTATGTGCATGCAAATAGCTGTGTGTGTGTAAAATTATTATGCTAATTTTAACAAAACATTTTATTATTTATTTATTTAATTTTATTATTTCATATGTGCATACAAGGCTTGGGTCATTTCTTCCCCCTGCCCCCACCCCCTCCCTTACCACCCACTCCGCCCCCTCCCTCTCTCCCCCACCCCCTCAATACCCAGCAGAAACTATTTTGCCCTTATCTCTAATTTTGTTGTAGAGAGAGTATAAGCCATAATAGGAAGGAACAAGGGTTTTTGCTGGTTGAGGTAAGGATAGCTATACAGGGAGTTGACTCACATTAATTTCCTGTGCGTGTGTGTTACCTTCTAGGTTAATTCTTTTTGATCTCACCTTTTCTCTAGTTCCTGGTCCCCTTTTCCTATTGGCCTCAGTTGCTTTTAAGGTATCTGCTTTAGTTTCTCTGCTTAACAAAACATTTTAAAATAAAGCCTATTAAAGTAATAAACATAGTATCTGATTAATGATCTTTTTATGCTACAGAAATTACTTTTCACTTACTTCCACTGTTGCTACAACCCGGGATATTTTCTCCAGGAGCATACCCCATGAGACCTCCATTCCCATTAGGATTAGAAGGCACTGATGCAAGAAGACCTGAAGGGACAAAAATGTCCTATTAAATAATGCTGAAGATAAAATTCAGGGATAGATACATAAACAGTGTTCAAAGAAACAAATCTAAGGTAGTTACTGACATACCCAGTCCTCTGTATCGTGAAAGCTGCTGATAGATCTGTTTCATCCTTTCAATGTTCAAACGGCTTGCCTCAGCATGGTTCACCATTGGTTTGGGATAATTAACTCCAATCAGACACTTGGCTACCTTTTGGATACCTTCTGGTGCATTCCAGGGATCATAGATATATTTTGCAGGGAAGCCTCTTAGGACAGGCAAGTAACGCCTTTTGGGAGAAAGAAGAAAAATTATTAATATAATACACTATAAGCAAATTATATAACAGACCATGAGCTACAAGTGACCACAGCTGGAATAAGAAAAATTATTTTTTATAAATTTATTAAGTAGGTCTTATACATCTTCTTCATATATAACTTTGTACAAGGAAATATAGGTGATGAAAAAAAAAAACCAGGATCAGAAATGGTCCTTAGATAGGAAAATGTATGAGATAGCCAGAAAGGTAGAATACATTTGTGATCAACTCCAAGCCACTTAAATGATGTGTTTACTCTGCTTCTATCTCTGCTGCACATCCTGAGTGAGGAATACTTAAACTGCTGCTTAAACATGACAAGCTCTTCTTGAATTAATGACTCCAAACTGACTCCAAACCCTTGATTTACCTGATATAGTCTCCATTGGGATCTGTTCTCCTACCAAAACCAACGGGGCAGTAACAGTGAAAAAACTGCTGGAAAAAGGAGCTACAAGACAGCCACATCCAACTTCCAGCATTTATGCTCCAATCTGCGTCAAGCAGTAATTCTTCAAATACCTTCGGAAGTAACAATAACCAATTAGTTTGCACACACGTAATTCTTAAAGCAAGCATTTCTGAGGTCACTTTAGATCAAGAGGCCAAAGCAAAAAAAATATAGCACAGAACTGTGAAACTAACCATCACAAAGTTAGCTTCCTTATGTATGTTCTGTTCTATAATGAGGAATTTCATGAAGTATATTGATAGTAAATAGATTTCTGAACAGAATTTACTTCTCCAACCTTTGATGTGTTATAGTGGGAGGGTAAAAAAAAGTACTCAAGTCACTAATTTTAAAGAATGACAGGACCAGAGCAGATTAAAAAAAAAAGTAGCAAACCATTTTTGAGAAAGCAAAAATGCTACCAAATAAATCACCCACAAAAATTTAGAAGACTGACACATGGCCAGATAGAGGAAGCACAGCCAAATACAAATGAGCTTTAGAAATGGTCTAGCATTATACAACAGAAACTGCAAATTCCTTCATCCAAAAGAAAACAGAATCAAAGAAACGATTCCTTAATAAATTTATTAAGTGGTGCTATACATCTTCATTTACAAAGTTGTACTAACAACAAAACAAACAAACAAAAACCAAGCCAAAACAAAAAACCAGGACTAGAAATGGTCCTCAACCCAGTGCTGTAATCTTAGCTACTAGGGAGGCTGAGATGGAGGTTGGAGGCCAGCCTGAGCAAAATAGTTCTTGAGACCCCTATCTCCAACATAACCAGAGAAAATGGACTGGAGGTGTGGCTCAAGCACTAGAGAGCCTGCTCTGCAAGCAAAAGTACGAAGCCCTGAGTTCAAATTCTAGTCTTACCCCCCCCCACACACAAAAGAAATGATCCTTAGATAGGAAAAATCTATGAGATAGCCAGAAAGATAAAACTATATGAAAATCTTGCTATTTTGTGACAATATGATGTCACAAATACAGTATGTTTCAGTTTACATAATAAAAGTATTACTAAAGAGCTGTGATGTTGAAATGAGGTAAAACAATTTGTATTTCAAAGCTTGTAATATGAATTCATGATTTCTAAGAAATCTTGGGTGAATACTTTTTGTGACAGAAATGATCACTACTAAAAGTGATCATTTTTAAAAGTTCTATTTGACCACTGAAATGACTTTAGGTTAATCAATTTAACCAGTTTCCACCATTTCTCCTGTCTGATTTTACCACTCAGCTCTCCAACACTGTGCCTATATTGTGGGGATTATATCCTTTATCCATTGAAAAATTATACTGCAAATGAATCTACATAACAGACATTTTCAGGAGTTTTAAAAATAAGGTATGGATTCCTTAGAAATATGACCACATTCCACTTGTTAGAACATTTACCTTCATTCCTTCTTCCCAACTAATCCATAGGTCACCTCGTGTCAGGAAGCAAGCAACTGCATGTCTGGCTAAATGGTGAATCCAACCCTCCTGACGAAGTTGTGTCATGATGGCATCAATCCATGGAAAGCCTGTCCGGCCTTCTGCCCATTTGGCTAAAGCCTCAGGATTCTTATCCCAAGGAATCTGAACACAGATGGGGTTTCCTTCCATTTTATCAAAGCGTGGATTATTTGTTGCTGCTGTATAGAAAAATTCACGCCACAACAGTTGCCCATAAAGTGAAAGCGGAGGGGAACTGTTCTTCTTTACCTGAGATTAAGAAGCAAAGAAATATTATCAGCAAGTTTTTAAAAAAGTGTTTTGAAAAATACGCTCTAATGTTAGGTAATACCTTTTTGTAAAGATCTGTTAGTTTGAAATAAAATAGCCGACATGACAAACAACCAAATCGGAGATAAGGACTGAGTCCAGTAGGGCTCGCAAGCAGGGAATTTGCATTCATCCGTGGCCTCTCAAAGTTCGCCACCCAAGCCTGCAAACACACACAAAGAACTACATTAACTGCCTTTTCATTTCCAAAGTGATCAAAATTAAGATTTTTAAAAAAGTTATAGAGTTCTAGGGGAATAATTTATTATCCCATGAATCTCATGTTTTAATAATTTTTTAAAAAGTAAAGAGTGAACATTCTTTTGTTTCAGCTATCCTTGTGCAGCACACACTTACGAAATAAACTACCTTCAAATTCCCAGCATAAGGCTTAAAAGAACCTTCAAGCTGTCTCTCTGACACTGAGGCAAAGGTGAAATGCAGTAGACCCTCTTGTCCACCCATGGCCAATGACAGTTGGAAAATATTAATTCATAACCTCAAAATAATTTTACTATAGTATATTTGCATAGTCATTCTATTTTGCCATTAGTTATTGTTGCTAGTCTCTTACTGTGCCTAAATTCTATATTACACTTTAAAAAAGCTGACCTAAAAATGAGAAGAGGGATTACTAAGGAACAGGAAAGGGCAGAGGGTAGATGGACGTGATCATTGCACTAAATGTACATGTATAGAAAGATCACAATGACTCCCATTAATTTGTACAATCAATATGGGTTAACAGAAATAATAACAAAATAAAAAAGTAAATGAAACTTTATCATAGGTATGTATAGAAAAAGCATCATAAATATAGGGCTTCAGAAATCACTGGAGTCCCACATTCCTCATGGATAAGGGAGAACTACTGTAGGAAAATAATATTCTAGTTTCTAAGTCATAGTTATCTGACACAAGCTGGGGTAGAAAGAACACAGAGCTGTGAGCATGATTCAAGCAGTACAGTGCCCGCCTACTAAGTTCAAAACCCTGAGTTCAAGCCCCACTACCCACCTCCCCCCAAAAAATGGGTGGCCCAAAAGAAGAGCTAGTATGATAAGAGCTATTATACTATGACAGTTTCCTCTAATCAGAAGAGGAAGGGAAAGGAGAATTAAATGATAAGCTAGTTGTTGTGGTTTGTGCTATTTTAGCTATTTCTGACAATACTCCTTTTTCAACAGTCTGTTTTTTGTTTTTAAGAGAGTGAAAGAAGGCTGAATGTGGTGGCGTACAACTGTAATTCCAATACTTGTGAGGCAGAGATTGGAAGGATCGATCACAACTTGAGCACAACTGAGGGCAAAAAGTTAGTGAAACCCGTCTAAACAAACAAGCCTACAATATCAGCTTCCCGGGAGGCATAGATGGGAAGATCACAGACCAGACTGGCCCTGGTAAAAATTCCACAAAATCCCATCTTAAAAAATAACCAATGCAAAATAGGGCTAGGGCTGTAGTTCAAGTGGCAAAGTGATAAAGCGCCTGCACAGGAAGCCAAGACCCTGAGTACAAACCCCAGTATTGCCAAAAAACAAACACTCCCCCCACCTCAAATAATTTTTAATGTGACAGTTTGGAAATATAAGCATGGCTATGTATCTATGTTATCATACTTTTCTTTCCAAATGCCTTTCCAAACGTGTAAGTGCTTCAGTTTCTCCTCCTGGCCATACTGCAGAGGATAAGCCATCTGTATCAAAACCTGAGTAAAAAAGAAACAATGTTATTCTGAAACTAAAATATTTTTTATTTGATCACAATAATTTGGAGAACAAATTACTTTGTAGAAAAATTATGGGTAGACCCTCACCTATAAAGACTCTGATGTGGTTCCTATTCTTTAGGACAGACATCTGAATGAGATAAAAAATCCCCTACTAATAGAACACATAACTAATGCACAGGTATCTCCTGTGAGTTTCTTTTTGTTCTTCACATTTCCCATTTTTTACTTTCTTTCCCCCCAGACAAGAAATGAACTTTTCAGAGTGCTTTACGGCTGAGTACACCCACCTAGCTCTTCCAGGGAAGGGACTCCGTATTTCTCATCATGGTCATCAGACAGAGGAGTTGTGCACTTCTCTATCACTTCTGAAGTAATTGTCTCTACTGGGATCTCTAGTGGCTCCATTTTGCTGATGAGAGTCTGAAATCTTTTATAAGTTAGAGGTGGTTGTCCACCATTGAGTTCTATGATCCTATTATAAGAGTTAGTAAAATGCAGTTAGTAAAAAATGAAAAGGCTTAATGTCAGAAAATAAAATTCATCATTTAAGACTTGTAAAATGTTAGCTTCTCATATGACCAGAAAACATGCTCCAAATGTGGTTAATGAGTCTAAAAATATTCTCTTTATTTTCTAGACATCTGCTATCAAAAATATACATGATGCAAAAATACCAAAACCTTTAGTATAATGAGTATTAAGGACTTATGAGTGAAAAACAACTAAGTGGCTAAATTAGCCTAGAGGCAGTAACAAGAAATTAATATGCATGGACATGTAAAAAATTATTATGACACAAGGAATCTCTCAATCATCAATTAAAAACTGAACCAGGCTGATAACTGTCCTAAGGAGTAAACAGTAAAAAATTAAGTTTTGCTGTGTATATTTGAGGTTTATAACATGGTATTATGGGATATCCATAAATAATGAAATAGTTCAGATTAACATATTTATAATATCATATAGTCACTTTTTGTGATGAGAGCAGTTAAAATCTATCTCATAAAATCTCCAATACAATAGTATTTTATTAACTACAGACCTCATGTTGGACCTTTGACCTCTAGACTTGCTCATCTATGTATCTGCTACTATTTGGCCTTTGACCTACATTTTCCCATCTCCTCCAGCAAGCTTCATTAAGTAGAATTCTGTTACTGTAGTGGCAATTACTTGCCATTTTCTATTGTGTTCATAACTCATTAATGACATCAGCATATGTGAATGTGTCATGTATGGCAGCACCCCTTATCTGTGGTTTCCCTGGTTTCAGTTACTCTTGGTCAACTATACTCCAAAAACATTAACATGTCATGAATCTTTACCAAGGGAGGGAGACCACATTCACTTGAGTTTATTTCAGAGAATTGTTGTAACAGTTCCATTTTATTAGTAGTTATTGTTAATCTCTTACTTTGCCTAACTTGTAAATTAAGCTTTACCATAGCTATGCATGCATAGGAAAAACAGTGTACCTAGGGTTCAATACTATTCGTGGTTTCAGGCATCCACTGTAGGTCTTGGACTAGCTCCTCTATGAACCGGGGGTGGGGTGGGGGGTGGGGGGTGTTCCTGAACTTAGGACATATAAACCTCCCAATTCCCAATTACTTAAATTTAAGTAACTTCTACATTTATTTCTGATCACTAATTGCTACAATCTAGTCATACTTTAATGAAAAGAAAAACTAGCATTGCCAATTATAGCTTAGATTGAGTTTAGACACTGTTTAGAAATAACTAATTACTCCTTTTCACTCTAGCCATTTGTTTAACATTTGGCATTAATAAAGAATTATAGGGAGGCTGGAGACATGGCTCAGTGGTAGAGTGCCTCCTAGGCATATACAGGCCCTGGGTTTGACCCCAAGCACCCCTTCTCCCCCAGAAAAAAAGTAGCATTGGTTTTGAAACAGAAATGTTAAATATTTTTATCCTAGGCACTGATTCTAGAATTTTGGTACTTGCTACTGGGTAATAAAAAAATCGCAGCAGCTAAATAAAATGCTAAGGGTTTGACATATGTTCATTTAATTTTCTTGTGGCTTCAGACCCACCAGTTAAAACTTACTTGTCTATGTACTTAATACCACTGAACAGTGTACTTAAAAATGGTTAATAGTAGACATTGTTGTGTTTATTTTCCACAATAAGAACTCAAAACCATACTTGTCCAGGTCATAGAGTGTATGTGAGATTCGCACAATGACTTCTACTCCGGCTTCAGTAGCTAGCTTCTTAATAGCTGCGTCTCGCTCCTTTCCGAAGGGCTCAGAGTCATACTCAATTGAAAGCTTAGTGATATTCCACTCCTAAAGGCAACAGGAAGGAGAGAAAATGTATTCCAGTTCCATGGTTATTTCTTCTATCATGACAGTAAGTGAAAAGCTCAAAATCTACATAATACATGGTCAAACTTCAAATATGAAGGAAGAAAGTACATAATTTATCAATCTGAAAATATGTAAATGACAACTATATACTCAGAATTATTTCTAGCAAATAGATATTGCTATTGTAAATTTTATAGTATACATCTTTATGCATAAGTTTTATGTTATTATTATTTTACTGTTAGCAGTCCTGGGGTTTGAACTCAGTGCACTTGCTAGGCATGTGCTCTGCTACTTGAGCCACACCTCTAGCCCTTTTTGTTTCAGTTTATGTTTCAGATAAGGGTCTCACTCTTTTTGCCTAGGGCCAGTCTGTGATCCTCCTATTTATGCCTCCTGTGTAGCTGGGATTACAGCAACAAACCATCACTCCCAGCCTTGTTTGCTGAGACAAGGGTCTTGCTAACTTTTTGCCTGGGCTGATCTTAAACAGTATCCTTCTATCTCTGCCTCCTGAGTAGCTAGGATTACAACATGTGCTACCATATCCAGTTGGATACGTTTTAAACATATTTAGGCATTTATCCTATTTTTCCTAGAAATAACTCCTAGACATATAAATAATACTTAGATTCCAGGCATGTGCTAGACACTAACCAACCTATCAATATGGCTAAAAGCAGTTCTTACACAAACTATGTCTGGATGGCATTCTGCTTTTCAAATTACTCAAACTTATGTTACTTCATTTGATTCTCAAAACAACTCCAGAATTTGAGACTTTGGTTGCTATCTCCATTTTGAAGATAAGATTATTATTATTTAAAAAAGGGACTTGCCCAAGTTCAAAGAGCCAGAATACCTTAGTTTAGTTCTATTGATTCCAAGAACTGATCTTTAACAAACCTTTGTAGCTGATATGAGCTATTTTGGTGAGGTACAGTCTACGGGCATAAATACTGTATTTCTGATCATTAAAAATGCTAAATGTGGAAAATGTGGAAAGAGTAATAATAACAGCAGCTATCTACTGAGTAGTGCTGTAACTTATACACATCTCCTTGTAGTGACCTTCAATGATGAGAGGATGACTTTAGAGAATTTTTCTCAAAGAAGTAGTAAAGATTTTTAAACTCTAAAATATATTCTGACTTATCTCACAATGAAAAGAATTACTTGTAATTCTACCATTATTTAAATGACTGTATGACAACACTATAACACATTAGACAAATGCTGTTCCCAAAGGTGGTTTTTAAAAATTGCTATTATAAATTTTGTAGTATATATGTCTATGCATTTTAAATATATTTAGACATTTATTCTATTTTTTCTAGAAATAATTCCTTGAAAAACAATTGATGAATCAAAGATAAACACATTTAAGATTCTAACAGACTGCTAAATCTTCTAACAGGCAGACCATACCAATTTTACTCTCATCAGTAGTAGCCGGTTCTTGCTCCCCACATGCCTATCAATAAATAATATGCATTAGTGATCTTTTTAAATGTCTGCTACACCAATAGGAGAAAAGTATTATGTCTATTTAAAAATTTTCCTTTCTTCAAAGTCTTGATGAATGAAATCTTGATGAATGTAACAGCTGTTAATGGCTGTTAACCTTCTAGGAGACTTTGTGAGGGTAAATGACTAACATGTACTATGTTTGACATTTAAAATTAAAATTAAAATGAGAATAGGAAAGCTTTATATTTCTTTGTTTTACATTGAGGCAGGATCTTAAGTCAGACTTCCTGAGTGAAAAAGCTACTCAACTACTTAGGCAAATTGCCAAACTTCCCATGCCTGTTTCCCAGTGTATACAGTGTGCAGACTAGTAAGTGAGGTGCTTAGTGTGTTCACACAACAGACTTATGTATGTGCTAGAGTGAAGTGAAACTGAAAAGTACTGAGTACTGTTACTGGTTGCTAAAAGATAAAATAAGATGATGCAGGTACAATGTTAGGACAAGGCATAGTACGTAGTAGGCTCTCAGGAGATGACAGCATCAATATTACCTGCTATTTGTACATTTCTCCTTTTGTGAGTTGCAGTTTTGTTGGCTTGGCTTTTTATTATAGTTAGTTTTTCTCTTATGGATTTGCTAGAACTCCTTATATTTTAAATATGGCAACCCTTTTGTCATATATATGACAAATCATTTTTTCCTAACTAGTAGTTTGCAGTTAATTCTGTAATTGTTTGAGAAATAATATTTAGATTATAAATGTTTGAGATCAGCTAATAAATAATAACTCCTTGACATTTTTCCTTCTTCCATAGGTTATGGGTCCAATACCCATAAAAAGATAGTAGGTTTAAGGGCAGGTAATATTTCATTGTTGAATTAAACGGCAGTGTTTAATGTTACCTAAGTAATCCTAAGTAGCACCCCTCCCCCGCACTGTGAGCTGCCCCTATGAACTTAGTACTCAGAAGAAGAGAATATACTGCATGTTCTTTGCAGGTAACAAGGAGAAAAGGAATGGTCTGCACTATACTCACCGGCCTCCTCCTAAACTCACCATCATATTAGTCACTTCTTCCCTGGGAATAAATTAGTGGACATCTTTTCACAAGAAAAATGAAAAGAGAATATTTCCTGAGTTATTAAATATATTCATTCATACACCAAATATTTATTACTACAGACCAGATACTATGGTAGGTTTCTTCCTCTTGGGGCTTACTAAAGAAGACTGACAGATACAGGGTTAATTCTCTCTCTTCCATGACTGCACTAGCTAGACTTCCAGTAAGTAGTGAAAGCAAATATCCTCGATTTGTTCCTTGTCTTAGGTGGAAAGCATACAGAACTTCACCATTAAGTATGATTTATTGGGTTTTGTTTTTTTTTTTGTCTACAGCCTTTATCAAATTGCTACTTAGCCCTTTCCTATTCCTAGTCAGCTAAAATTATTTTTAAAAAATCATGGGGGGGAGGTGGCACAAACAATGTATACACATGTAAGTAAATGTAAAAAAATGATAAAAGGAGAAAGAAAAATATCATAAATGGTGTTAAAAATCTGTCCAATGCTTTTTCTTCATGTTTTGAGATAATTTAATAGGATGGGTTATATTAACTGGTTTTTTTAAAATGCAGAACCAACCTTGAATTCTTGAGGCAAACCCTAATTGAACATAATGTAGAATCATGCTAAAATACTGCTACAGTCAACTTGTTAGTATATTGCTGAGAATTTCAGAGTCTGTATTTATGTGGGATATTTGGCTGTATATATGTTTAATTTAAAAATTATTATTTTTTTTTGGCAGTACTGGGGCTTGAAAAGGGCCTTGCATTTGCTAGGTAGGTGCTCCACCACTTGAGCTACTCCACCAGCCGTTTTGTGTTGGATATTTTTGAGATAGGGCCTCACAAACTATTTGCCTGAACTGGATTTGAACCACGATCCTCCTTATCTCTGCCTCCCAAGTAGCTAGGATTACAGGCATGCGCCACCAGTGCTGAGTTCCTCCTTAAAAATTCTTAGCTGGGAGTGGTAGTGTACACCTTTGGTCCCAGCTACTTTGGAGGCAGAGATGGAAGGATTGTGGCAAGAAAGTTAAGGAGACCCTATCATAAAAACAAAGGTCAGTGTGGTGGTTCATTTCTATAATTCCAGCTATTCAGGAGACAGAAATAGGAACACCATGGTGTTGGCAATAATGGTGCTGATAGGTTTCAGTTCTTACTGCACCCTTAAGCTCCTGTTTTCCAGGGTCACAGTCCAGCCTCAAGTCTAGCTTGAATCCTCCTTCTGCCCCAACCTCCAATCAGCATGAACCATAAGATCCTAACCAATCAGATCATGCTGAGTCCCACTGAGGGGTATTTAAGCCCCTGCCCCTCTCTCTGCTCTCTCCCACCTGGCAATAAAGAATCTCTTGGCCAGATCACTCTTCTCCACGTGGTCACTTTGGGGCCCACATTTCCTTACACATGGTCCTGGGCAAAAACATGAAACCCTGTCTGAAAAGTACTAAAATAAAAAGGGCTTGGGGTGGGTGGCTCAAGCGGTACAAGTGGAACAGCCAAGCACAAGACCTTCTCTGAGTTCAAACCCTAATATTGCCAAAATCCAACCAAACAGAAGACAACAACAAAACCTCACCAGATTTTGGTATCAGGGTTATTCATGCTATCTTCATAAAATGAGTTGAGAATTGTTCCCAACTGTTCCCTCTGGTTTCTGAGACTTTTATCAGACTGATATTATTTCTTTCTTAAATACTGTGATAGAATTCACGTGTAAAGCATCTTGGGACTGGAATTTACTTATGGAAAATTTTTTTTATTACAAATTCAATTTCTTTAAGAGATATATGGCTCTTTAGTTCTTCTCTTACAAGTTTTACTAAGTTGTACTCTTCAAAAGCTTTTTTTCATTTATCTCAGTTGTAGAATGTATTGGAATAATGTATTTATAGTATCCATCATGCTTGAAATTTTTAGAGAATCTTGTGATGACCTCTTGCTAGCAGTGTGTTGATTTTATTAATCATTTCACAAAACCACCTTTTGGTTTTGCTGACTAAATCAATCAAGATTCATCAGAAAACAGAAATCAAATCACTAATTTAAAGAGGAAAAATGTAATATAATTGTTATCTGTTAAAAGTGACCAATAATTATAAAGAGGAGTGGGGTCCGTGCTGTCGAAAATGGCAGGCAGCATCTCACCACACAAGCTTCCTAAGCACTAAATACAGCAAAATGGAAGGGAGATGTGCTAAAAGTATAAAATACACTTTCAAAGACTTTATATTCAAAAGGTAAGACAGCTTATTAATTTTACAATAAAATATTCAGACATACCAGGTTAAATAGCTATGAAAATTAATTTTGCTTGTTTCTTTTTTTAATGTACTATTAGAGAAATGTAAAGTACATGTGAGACTTCTCTTGGATGGTATTAACGTAAGGTGTTCAAAAGCAGTGACTGTGGATGCAGCCACCACTTCTGTGTGG